GTGACCGGTTCGAAGCTTTGCATCGAAACTTTGCATCGTTGCCCAAAAGGGAAAAGTGTAAAATCTATTGATACACACTGCTCATTCACGCCGGTTCAAGGCCGGATGAGATCGGATATCTCGTGAGAAAGAGTTAATTTAGACACTTCCTAAGTCGGTAGGCCATTGACCATGATATGGCCGAGGACCGCGGTTCGGATTCCGCGTAAACAAGTAGGTCCCGTCCAGTTTAGCCATTGCAGCAGAAAGGAGACGTTAACTTGAACCTCAAAAATATATTTAATAAGACTAAATACCTATGTACATTTTCATTTAACTAATCTCGATTAAATTCTCCTGATTCGGGGGCCCCTCTCAATGACGGGGCCTGGGGCTATAGCCCCCCCCTTAATCCAGGCCTGCCTAGTAGTCATTAAATAATTTGAGGTCACTAAATTTTCTTTGAACTGAAGCATTTGCAAAGGGAAGCACAAGTAAAAAGCAGATTATAATTTTTAAGTTGGGAAAGATATATCGTCCCGCTCCGTTTTTAAAGCTAAAAATTTTACGCCATTTTCAATCAGCAATAAAATGTTGAAACTCCCCTTATTTTCGCCCCCTATTGCTAAAATCCCCACAAAACTCCCAATCGGCTCCGGATTCCCCAAAATTTGGGGAATTCCCCACAAATTGGCAACGCTGGAGGTTAGCGTGTTCTTTCTGAATATGCTAAGACTAACGGACTAGTGTCGAAACACAGATAGCTAGATGGACGTATTTCGGCACTTGCGTCGATGCGCTACAGGTACATTTGCCTGCGCGTCGTATGTCTTCTGGCAGTCTTTTAATTTTTCTGTTTGTCTATGTTCCCAGCTCATCGTTCGGCTTCTCAGTGCCGTGTCGATGCACCGTCGGTGCAAACGAAAATCGCAATGCTGTGATTTTCGTTCGCGTGCCCACTGCGATTGCAAATCGCAACTGGTGTAATATTGGTTGCCTAAAAATCCAAAATCGGCAGATATATGTTTCAATCGCAAGTCGCAGTTTGTTATGGAAAGGAATCACAGGTTGCGATTGCGAATTTACAATCGCTGCGATTAAATCGCAGTTTGCGATTTTCTGCTCATCTCTATCCTATACATATTGGTATGGAAATCATAGCTTTAGAGTTACAGGATGTTAAAACTTTTTAAAATAATTTTTTTCTGTAATTATCTTAAATACAAGTATTTTTTTATTTGAAATTGCTGTAGGTTGGACTAATAGTAATAATAACTAATAGTAATATTTTATTAATTTAATTTTTATTTTAATATTATTAATTGTAATTAAAAAAATTGCTATCTCATCAAGGAGGCCGAATTCGACAAAATATTAAGAAATAACTTTTAATTTGCATTGAACGGCCTACACAATTTTGATATCAAAAGCAAAAAAGTCAGTAGCGCACAAAAGCAAAAGTAAGGCAAAAAAGTCAGTAGCGCACATTTTTAATATTCCAGTGATAACCCATATGCACGTCTTTGATGAATTTATCGACACTTTTTTAGCATTAAAATATGTAGCACTTATGGTAACTTTTACCCTCCAAATTTCATCTGAATTACTAAAAGTACTTGGAAGAAAATTAAAATAAATCGAAAAAATATTAAGACTTTGACACACTGTAGCTACGAAACAAACTAGAATCAGACCTATGTTGATATGAAAATAGTGTTTGAATATGGACTTTATAATGTTCCGTCTTACGTGCCTGTAGCCACGACCTGTTAGACAGATGTCATTCAGACATATTGTTGTCCTTGTCTATTATCCAATTATAAGTTGATATGTTTTGTTAATTTACTTTCACTTTAATATACGATTATTAAATTAGTAAGACCTTCATTTAGTACATAAATATACACCCAAAACGTAAAACAAATAGATATTATTTTTAGGTGAGGAATCTCCTCACGAGATATTTATTTTTGGAACACCCAGTATAAATCAACAAGTAGTTCCTTACGAAAATACAACTAAATATCTTGGCATGATAGTTGAAGCTAAACTAAGGTGGAAATCGCATGTGAAGAACTTAAAGTATAGGAAAATGAATTGGTTACTACAAACTGGTGCGACAGTCAATCCTGTCAATATAATATAATGAGATTTTGCTTTATCAACAAGTCTTGAACCTAAATATTATCCAAAAATTCCAAAACAAGGTACTACGGGATATTGTTGACTCACCGTTGTACATTAGCAATGGCAATCTACATAAGGACTTAAAATTGGATGATGTCGACAACGCCATCAATAAATATGCCTTAAGACATGAAGAGAGGCTCCATCAGCACATCAACATCGAGTTTACAGCCCTGTGCATTCTAAAATAGTGCTATACAGAACTGACAGAACCAAAATAACTATCATCGGATTAGTGTTTTGTATTTTAACCGTAGCAAATTAAGTCAAAATCAATTAGCTTATTAGTGTAATTTTACTATACTGCTATACTAAATGGCCCAAGGGTGATTTAAAAAAAAAATATAATAATATTACATACTACTTGCAAGAAAAATATATCTAACTACTTCCGATTCAGTGTTTTTTAGAGTTCACTTGAACCCGACTTTAAGTGATACGACCAGCTCTTAATATTTCAGAAACACTAGTAGAAGTGAACAATGTACAGGGTGTTGCATTTAAAATAATTAGTAAGTTGGTTTTGATCACATTCCATGGCACACCCGCACAAAACTTTTTGTCAAAAAAAGATGACCAACTGAAAGTACCATTTGATTTCCAAACTGTCTTGTCCGAAAAAAGTCTGTCCAAGCGATTTTTTTAAATACGCCTCCTTTTACTGATTATCGAATGTTTTCCATATGACCATAAATTAAAAACTGATATTTTTAAATCTGATATTTTTCATGATTGTGTTGTAACTTAATAAGTTTTTTAATCTACGATTGAAATATTAAATGTTATTTATAACTTAAAACCCAGACCTCAAAATCCATGGTTAAGATAGAACAAATGGAGATATTTAATTTTATTATATTATTTCCAGTTACTTTTTACAGAAATTCGAGTATAATTCTTAGAAGAAAACTTAAAAAGAAATATCTAGAGCTCTATATCATTTTTACGAGACCTTGTTCTTTTAGAAGCAGAATTATCATAAAGAAAAAGATCAATGTTATAATATATATGTTAATTATCAATTAGTGATGACCTTTTGCAGACAAGATCATCCTTATTCATAGTTTTATATTAAAGTTATAATATATAGTAATATAGACTTTGAACCTGAACCTGTGAGAAACTTATTCAGATAATTTTCTATTTAAAGAATATAATTGCAGTCTTCCATAATAATCATAAAACTAAAATTAGATATCTACTATTCTTAGATATAAGATTGTAATATTAGAACTACTGTAAGATTATTGATATCTCCTGCTTTGTCGCTATTGATCTTTTTCAAATAAATCATTTCAGTGAGTAGTTCTTGTTTTAGAGTATACAGGGTCCGTGAGCGACAGTGCGTCGGGTTAGATTTCGTTTATATGCAGACATAAACTGCATAGATGTATGACAGGAAGATAATATGTATATGAGCGAATTTATCGACAAAACACTTTAAATACTCGTACAAAAAACGTTCATTTTTTAATTCTTAATATAAAGGAAGTCTTAATAGTGTCACTACTAATTTAAGTTCAGATACAATTTCCTTCTAGATTAGTACTTTTAAACAACGCAAATTGTAGAATAAATAATAAATAAGATGTCGATTCCCTCCACCATGCATGATAAGAGGGGGGGGGGTTAATCACTGCAACCTTAAAGATCTATTTTACTCCCCTTCCTTGAGTCATCACACAGTCTATAACCCATCATACCCCTGTTGTAGAGGGGACAGGGTATTTCCCATCCTCCTCTGATAACAGTTCTTCCTTCGAGGGTACACACCCTTGCACAGTTGGAGTTTGGCCCTCCGTGCCGCCCTTCACAGTCGAGGAGCTTGCCTCCGGCTGAGGAACCCGTGAGGTGGAGGCTGGGTCTCTCTTTAGACCTGATACAGGTGTAGTCCCGTATCTATAATAGAGGATATGTCCCTCTTTCTCTATTTCCTCCTTGGATTTGAGGTCAATTCCTATTGTGAGGACCTGACCATGACCTTCCTTCCTCGAGTTGATGATTCGCCAACTCGATGTCCTTACATTGAAGTTCTGACTCTGGATAAGGCTCAGCAGGTAGGTGGTGTCTTTCCCCTTGCCCCTCGGCAGAAAGACCGTGATGGCCACCCCTTTAGAGATGTTTTCTCCCTTCATTGCAACCAGTTCCGGCCCTTTCCAATTTTTAAGTTTAGGTGCGATTTCCACCAACCAATTCGCCGATTCTTGAGATACACAATCTATGAGGATCATGCCCACCCGAAAGTGTATCCCCGCAAAACGCAGCTGACTCACATTTTGTAGATCGTTGTGTTGCGATACGATCGCCACTACTTCGTCCAGTATAGCCTCTTCTAGAGACATTTGCTGATGGGTGGTCAGAGCAACCTCTGGGAAATCCTTTGGCAGCACCGCCATTTTCACTTGTCCAGCAATAGCGGCAAAGCTGGTGATACGTCTCTGCTTGCCTCCCGGTGTTGGACGGCTTTCCATCCTGGCTTTTTTCTCTCCCTGTCGGAGAAGAGGTGAGAGGTTCTCGCTCCCTCTCTTGCCCTTTGATGGAGATGAGTCAGGTTGTTTCTTGGTTTCTTTACTCTCCCCTTTTCGGAGGAGTGCTTTCGCTTTTGCTTCCTCTGGAGCAAGTCCTACGTGGAGCAGTCGGAGGTATCTCCGTGCTTCTGGTCCGCTAAGACCTACTCTCAAAGGATCGTCTAGCCCGCCTGGTTGACCCAGGCCGGGTAAGACGAAACGGTAGCTTGTTTAGTCTTGTATTCATTGTTACTTAAATGACTCACTTCACAATATAATATATGTATTTGTACTTTATAAATTTGTTTGAATTGTTTTCTATTCTAGAAATGTGCTGGACATATATTTGGACAATAATAAACTTACAAACATCCACGTTTTGGAAGGATCGCACTGGCTGACTAATTTCAGAGTATTTTCATTGAGAAACAATCAAATTGAGGAGGTATGAGTTTATTAATTTATTTCCGAAGTATTTTAAATTAAAGGCATTTTTCCTCAAGCTTCCGACGTATGCTCTGGACGATGCTTTTAAGCGTAATCCAAATATGCCAGATGCAGTCAGATTAAATTTAGGCGGTAACCCATGGAGATGTAATTGCGTGTTTATGCCGAGATTTAAGGTAAATATACTTTCATTAATATATGTTACGTTAAATTCGGATATTTTATCAACGTCATAGTTAAATACTGGGACCAGGGAACCCCTCGGGTTACATTAAAGCTTAAAAGATATTTTATTTATTAAGATATTTATTTAATAACAGTTTATCCATGAAATATGGAAAGTAAAAGCGAAATATATGGAAAGTTGGAGACTCCCTTTATCTTATAAATTTCGATAAATGTGTTGGACAAAATAAAGACCAACCTTCAAGAACTGAAGAAATATCATAATTTGTTATTGACGATCGAATGCTTTTACAAAACTAAGCAAACTAAAAACAGTTGTGTACAATAAGCAAAAGCATAGTACAATGTAACTACCTACAATCACAGATTATACAGATTATAATCTTTGTTTTTTCTTTATTGTTTTTCGTGGTTTCAATTTTCGGAATCGGGCACTAGTTAGGTGACTAGTTTGCGCACATAGCACGCCCACTTATGGCCTCTAAAATTGTGCACAGCGCCTGACCGGCACAGTTATTAGAGAGACATCGGAAAACCGAATAGCGTCATCCAGTATTTACGCGTACCTTATCATGGTTACGATATGCGCGAGTCAACGCAACACCCGCTAATAACGTTACCGCCTGACGTAATTTGCGGATCAATTACACCAAGCGCTCTTTCTAAATAACCTCTGATAACGTTTAAAAATTGCTTAAATGGGCATATGCGGGTATTTGACAACCGGAGCCGGCCGGCGAGATATTTTATTTTTGGTTATGTTTGAATTATTTTGAATTATTGCTTTACTTTTATTAGGTAATTTGATATTTAAGTAGCTGGGATTAGTTTTAATTAAATAAATATGGCCCAAAATATGGATTCCACCTCTTCCAATACTAAAGAACCTATAAAGAGTCTTAGGTTTACAGCAGATGACGACTTAGACCTTCTAAGAGAATTTGTTACTTGTTGTCCTAAACCCATTGGCAGACGTTGAACAATAAAACACTGGAAATAAGCACTTTAGCCCTTTAGTTTTAAAATACCTAGTAAACAAAACAATTTCAAAGTTTTAAATTCGAAGTTAAGTTTAAATAGCGGTCGCGATGCGATCAGAATTCTTTCCGATCCGATAACTATAAATGAAGAGAGTTAATACCACCTCACGTAAAGGAAATAACACCTGGCCTTATTAATGTCCATGCACGCTATTCGGTTTAGCGATATCTCTCTATTACGCTATTTATTGTTATTTTACGCGAGTTTATTTTTGTGCACAGGAAATTTGACTCGTTTGCACATCGTCATAAAAAACAATTTTCGTACCATGAATTAGGGACAAGATTTTTATCTGTATACTTATAGGATACCTAATCTGTGCTACAATTAATTGTCTCATTGTTTCTTACCGTCAATTTGACATCTCCAGAGTCAATAATGAAAAAATAATACCTAATATTAGAAGTTCTTATATTAGTACGAGAGCTAGCAACGTCGGAAAAACAACTATTTTAAGACGTCTGGCTCTTTGATATATCTTTTACTATGCTCTCTAGAACAGCATGCGGCCCGTCTGGCTGCCGGTAAACGTTGCGTTCCCTATTGCGCATTGAAAGAAGATCCTATATTTTTATTAGTCCTTTAAATTCTAGTATTGAATATAAATCGAACATGTCTCCATAGCGCAGTGCGTATAGTTTCCGACCACGAACCGATGATTCATAGTTCGAATCGGGGTCGGGGCAAAGACTTTTTTATTTTATTTTCGTTTATATTCTGATAGTAAAGTATTAAATATTTGTTTTTATTTAATTACCAGAAATATTTAATACTTTACTATCAGAATATAAACGAAAATAAAATAAAAAAGTCTTTGACCTGACTCGGATTCGAACTCTGAATCATCGGTTCGTGGTCGGAAACTCTACGCACTGCGCTATGGAGACATGTTCGATTTATATTCAATACTAGAATTTATAGGACTACATTAATAAAAATATAGGATCTTCTTCCGATGCGCAGTAGTGAACGCAACGGGTATCGGCAGCCAGACGGGCCGCATGCTGTTCCAGAGAGTATAGTAAAAGATATATCAAAGAGCCAGACGTCTCAAAATACTTTCTCGAAAACGTTGCTAGCTCTTAGACTATATTTCTCATCCTATTTTATCAAAATTACACAAAAAATGCATATGGATATTTGTTGTTTGTTTTTAATTTTTACTTTTGTTTTGTTTATTTATTTTATGCTTATTAAAATCAAAATAGCGATAGTCGAAGATTATTAACCTCTGCTTTGCCTCTGCAGATGACCGAGCAGTACATTTATTTATATTAGATTGGGTTAATAAAAATCCTTTATTTTTCATTCAGAGGCAATCGAATGAACTTCAATACGCTGATGACTGCGTTCTAGTTGCAAAAACGTTAGAGCAATTACATGAAATGCTGGACACATATACCTGGGCATATGAGGCTTTGGGCCTTAAAGGTTGATTCTCACTATATTTCCGTTCCCATTCCATATCCATTCCATATCCGTTCCGTATTTTTTATTGTATTCACGCTATACGTATGCTTCCGTTCCGTATCAGTTCCATACTTTTTATTGTACAATTTATCATTACGAAAGTTTTGTTATAAAAATTTGTATCTTTTGAAAAAGGTAATAGATTTAATTAAGAGGTGAAAGAATAAATAAATATCAGCAAAAAATGTTAACAGAGCTGGTACAAATGTAAGGACTTGACAACGCTGTCTCCGATACGCTTCAGTCCGTCCGCCATAAAAATGTATAGAAGGAAAGGATATGGAGCGGAAGGGAAACGGAACGGATAGCGTGCATTGTCCTATTCCTTTACATGATATAATATGTTATGTAAACGGAAGGGAGCTGATACGGAAGGTATAGTGAGAATCAACCTTAAGCTGGACATCTAAAAAACTAAAAGCATGTGCTGGAAAATCATAACAATGCTATAAAAATCGGAAAAGAACTATTGGAATATTTAATTACCTCGGCAGTTTGATTTTGGTAAAGGCCAATATCGACTCTTCGAATATATTTGTAAATGTATACGTATATTATTACCCTTGTATTTTGTAATTTTCTTTTGTAATATAATAGGTATAATAATGTAACAATAAAATTTATTACATTAATTATATCGCTGTGCAAAGATATTTTCGAAGATATTTTACTTATTTTTCTTTTACAGGAAATGCTGCAAAAGTACGCCCCACAAATTAAGGATATACGTGACATTAGATGTGCAGAAGATAGTGAAAATTCATTAGTACCGGTAAAAAAATATCTTCATTGCCTATATCTTTCAAAATTTAACAAAATATTAATTTTAATAATTTGTTAATTTTACTTGAAAATTTCAATATTTTTTTTGGCGTTAATAATATTCTAAAGTACTAGTAAGTATAGGTTTACACTCATCTGTCATGAGTCGTCCGTCGTTGATTTTTGTGCAATTTTATTAGTTTATTTCAAAAATGACAGCTCACACTTAAATATGATAGTGAAGGAACAATGGACAACTTATTACGGATGCATGCAGACCCATACATAAACTATAAATAAACTTATCTACACATGGCCAAAATTATTGCATATAACGATATTTTTATTTTATTTTTTTGGCCCTAAAATGATTCTTTTTGTATTTTTGGACATATTGGCTTACTACACGACTAACTAATATAAAATTAAAAATCTAAGTGCAACTAGGCTATTATTATAATTTTATTTAATAATAAGTGAAAATCAACAAAAACAAATTTCATTTTAAACAGAAAATTTAAAACAATTTTAATTATTTCTCACAACTAATAGTCTGTATTGCCTCCTCGAGCCTCAATGCAAGCTGTGAGACAACGCGACGTGGCATGCTCTCAGTTAAGTTGTCCAGAAGATGTTGAGGAATGGCTTCCCATGTTTCGCGCGCAGCAATTTTCAATTCGTTTAAGATACGGGGGATCATTCCTTTTGGCCATATGGCGTTTTAGCATGTCCCAAGTATGCTCGATCACATTCATATCTGGAGACGTCGCCGTCGGTGGCCACCACAGTTTTCCCCCCTATACCCTCTTCCACACAAAATTCGCGAACCGCTAAAGTGCAATGGGAGGAGCATTATCGTCCATGTAAACAAATTCATCCCCCACTGCCCCTCGAAATGGACGCACAAGAGGCTCTAAAATGTCTCTAAGATATGAGGCACCTGTCATTGTGCCATCGATGAAAACAAGAGGAGTTCGAGCTCTGTGCATTATACCTGCGCATACCATAATGCGTCCCCCTTGAAACGGGACACGGGATTGAGCTGCATTCAAGCGTGCTCGTCTTCCTGATGCTCTCCAGACCAAAGTTCGTCGCGAGTCTGACGCTAGGCCTATTCTTGTTTCATCACTAAAAATGACGAAATTTCAAATAGGTCCATTTGCTCTCATCTCCTCAGCCCATTGTAGTCGCGTAATTTTGTGCTGTAAATTAAGCTTCGGAACACGTAGAGGCCTCCTTAAATGTAATCCTCTGTCATGGAGTCTTCTTGCTATGATCTTTCTTGAAACATTTACTTCTTCAAGGCGAGCTAACTCATTTTTAGTAGCAGTACTAGAAAGCAGGGGATTGCGCTGTGCAATTAGGGATATTTGACGGTTTTGCACAGCAGTAGTAACTCTTTTTCTACTTCTTCCAGGCCGGTCTGTAACCTCGTTTGTGTCCCTAATTTTTTTTAATATTCGCGAAACATCGCTTTGGTTAACTCCTACAATTTCAGCTATTGCAACTTGCCGGTAGCCCTGTTGAGACAGTGTTACTATTCTGAACTCTATGGGAGTGAGCCACTTTTGAAACACCCGGTATAGTGTTAGTAAAAATAATAAAGACCAAATTTTGTTTTTAAATAAATATAACGCATTTATACTTAAATTACAAATTTCGAAAGATCTCACGTGAGATTAGCGGTCCAGAGTCCAGACAAATCTCGCGACATCTCACTAATGGGAGCATTGGGGGGTCAAAAACTTCCTTAAAAAACCACGTAATTAACGGACGCCCCCTTCTAAATATTTTTTTTTATTTACAGATAATGGATTTATCCAGAAGTTCCGTTTGTCACTCACCAACGGAATATACTGTGCAAGAGGCTTTAGACTTATTAAATGTCGTTTTAGGCTTATTAATTATTCTAATCTTAGGAAAATTAGCGTATGATTACTACAATTTCAAGAAGACTGGTAAATTACCCTGGATAGTTACTAAGATGCCCTAGCAGTTAAATTATTGTACATAATAAAGTACTCTTAATACCTGATGACATTGTATATATACCTATTAGTTTGAAGTTTAGTATATAAGAATAGTATTTCTAATTATGTATTAAATAGATTATATTTTTTAGAATAATTATTATCATAAAGAAAAATTTTGTACTGATTGTCATTTCTTGATTTATTTTATTGGAATAATTATTACAAAACCCAATGTACAGTTTGACAAATATAGGAAGAGACTTGGGGATAGCACCGGTCGCGCACACGATAGAGAGAGAACGCATTCGGCGGAAGAGAGATGCAGTTACGCTACAGTGGGTAAATTGTGGATTATTTTTGCCTGATATTTTAAGAATTCTATACCGTATTAACATACAACCGTACAACATATCGAAATAATGATTTCTTTCATAATTTCGATATGTTGGTACATTATTTATAATTTATGATAATGCTAATTGCTGTTAATCATTTAAAAAAAACAAAAAAAAGTTTTTTAGTTTTTTTTTTTTATTAACATATAATTGTACAACATATCGAAATAATGATTTCTTTCATAATTTCGATGTTGGTACATTATTTATAATTTATGATAATGCTAATTGCTGTTAATTAATATTTAAAAAAGCTGCAGCATACCTATTTTAATTTGATTTTAATGCAGGTTTATAAAAGAATCATTTCATTCTTAGATTATTTTATTCTAAATTGAGTGCTTTACGAATTTTATGATATTTTTTTGAAAAACATGAAACTTTTTACATTTTTGATGCCAACTAATTGGCATGGTATTATTGGTATGGAAATTGTGCTTCAAGAAAGAAAAAGAATTGGCTATTTGTAATTTTTCGAAAAACAAATTATACCTATATCGCTGAAAAGCTTAAAATGGCGCTTTTTATGAAGTCATGGCCAACTATGGTTTCCATTTTAAAAAAACATAATGTTTGTGTCATATGTCAAAATGACAGGTTTTAGAAAAAAAAGAAAACACAAACTCATTAGGTATGTGATTATCTACAACTTTTATCTGAAAACTTTTGTCTAAAAATACCGTATGATCGAATAAAAACGGCTTCAGCGATGGCTGTGAAATGACGATCGATGATATTTCCCATAGCACTTAAGCATAGGTATAAAATGACAGCGCGATCTTCATTTCATAGCCATCAAGGCTGCTTTTATTCGATCATACGGTAGATTATAATGGAATTAGAGACAAAAGTTTTAAAGCCAAAATAAAAAAAAAAATGTTTTTTCGAAATATCTAGTAAGCCTTGAATTTCTCCGAATTTTTAATGTTTCAATGTTTTTTCGAAATATCTAGTAAGCCATGCACTTTTTCTAAAATCCGAAAGGGGCATATTTATAACCCCACAAAACTGCAATTTTTTCCCCATTTAACCGACTCTCTATCTCCAGTAGTTTCCGAGATACCCATATAGAACATCGTAGGAAACTCACCCTGTATAGTATTTAGAAACTAACTATTATTATTATTTGACTAGATTAATTTGATTAATAAAACTCGATTAATTTAATTTAAAATAAATTTATGGGTCATAAACAAAAACAACCAAAGAAAAATTCTGGCCACCGAAATGATGTATTGGAGAAGATGCTGTGGACTAACCAGAAGAGACCGAGTCACGAATGAGGAAATAAGAAGAAGAATGGGGAGAAAGACCGACGTCTTAAAGTACATAGAAACGAAAAGATTGGTATGGTACGGTCATGTTAGAAGGGCGGAAAATAGATGGATTAACAGAGTGACAGAGTGGAGCCCGATTGGAAGAAGAAAGCGAGGGCGGCCAAGAAGATCATGGCGAGATGAAGTGGACGAGTCTATGCATCGGAGAGGACTACGAGAGGGAACATGAGATGATCGAGACGAATGGAGGACCCGGTTGATGGAAGGAAGGCAGCCAGAGCTGTAGAATCCTTTTTATATATATATATATATATATATATATATATATATATATATATATATAAATAAATTTGATCAGATTTTTTTTTCGTATATTCTACTACCAGAAAACCAAAATTATATGATAACGCACTTTTCAAAGAAGTTGAAGGAAGATATAGTGTATCTATCACAATACTTAATAGAATTACTAACAATTAGAAGAAAAACAAAAAGAAAAATACCCAAATACCTTCACATACTATTCATCTACAAAATAAACTAATATACCTCTTATAAAAACACAATAACTACTTCTTCACTACTTCAACCACTTCACACTTCTCGAAAAAATTATCAAACACTAATTAATCAAACAAAAGAAAAAATAACCAAATTATCCCTTCACTTACTTCCAACTGCAAAATAATAAACTATAAAAACACTACTAAATTGTGGTAATATGTATATAGTGTTGTGATGAGTGCGGTTACTACTCTGTGGAATTGGACAAGGACGCAACACTATATACATATTACCACATAAACTATTTCTGGTATTCTACACTAAACATTATAATTAAACTTAATAAAAATTAATCTAATTTTACACTACAACCACTACAACTACAAAGAAATAAGAACATTTTTAAAACTAGAAGAAACAGAACCTCGATACGTGCAACCAGTATAATAGATCAAGCGGACAAAGAATATAAATACTTTAAAAATGTGCATTCAGAAAGAAAATATCTCGAAATTATCTAAACAAATATTTTTTTTCTTATCGCGAAAAGCATCATTCAATGGCCTTGCGAAATTTGTCGGGTATTACAATGGTCGAATTGTATAATTGCCAGCTTTTATAGCATATCTAATAGACAAAAAGTATTTGGTCGATTAGTAAAAAATTGGCACAGTCCGAAAATTATCGATTTTTATTTTCTCTGTTTTTATTGGTCGCTTCAAAATTCAGAGTAACAAAAAATATTTTTCTGTAGTAAAAGACTGTGAAATACGCCCCGCCATCTGGTGCTTTACATCCATAAACGTCTTAGGTTGAACTACTTTAAAAATTCATATACAAGGGTTTTATTTTTCATCTTTTTTCGATTTAACATAATTTTCTTCCAAGTGCTTTTAGTGATTGAAATGAAATTTTAATGCTAAAAAGTGTCGACATATTCACCAGGGATTCACCACCATTGCGCCGCTGACTTTTTTTTCTTGTTAGCAAAATTGTGTAGGCCGTTTAATGCCGATTAAAAGTTGCATCTTGATATTTTGTCGATTTCGATCTCCTGAATGAAATAAAGACAGTTTTATTAATATGCCTTAACTTAATCTTAAATAATCAGCCGACTAAGAATGGCCTGTCACCCCCAGACTTATTTTCGAATATTTCCCTTTACAGTATCCAAGCTATTTAAAAACGTAAGTCAGATAATTCAAGGTGTCTTGTTTTTCAAATTAATATTTATTTAGAAAATATGCGATAATTGTTTTGAGTAGTTTCCCACCAAGCAAAAAACCTCACATTACATTTGCAACATTGCAGTCAATCCCCAAACAGTTTGCTTTGTAATGTTGATTTCTAAACGTTGTGTTGTGATTGATGAAACCTTGCTACAGAAACATTGTTTTTGAATGCTGATTAAAACGTTTTTTCTGCAACATTGCAACAAACATTCAAATGAAAGATCCGCGCAAGTTCATATTAATTAATATTATAACAAATATACCATAGGATCGAAAAAAACGGCGTCTAGTTGGCTTGGAAATGATTATTGATGACATTCCCCATATAAAATGACAGCGATTTTCTTTTCATAGCCATCGCTGACGTCTTTTTTTTTCGATCATAGCAATGACTAAAGAATATAAGGACATGTAACGCCCCTATACGGGCTGCAGCATTTGTGACCTTAGACGCCTTTTCTTTTGGTGGCAAACAATGAGTCATCAGTTGGTCACCAGCGACAATTTTAGCAATTTTTAATAGTTCGTGTGTAGTGAACTTTGTATAAACTTTATTACAATGCTGATTAGTTGTTCACCTTTCAAATGTAAAAGCAGCAGTGACAAGAAAGAGCCAGGAGTTACGTTTCATAGGTAAATAAACAGTCCGCTCCACCTTTTTAGCGTTTTCTTAAGTTTTCTTATTGAATTCGATAATTATTTTTCTGATATTTGATGTACTTGATGTGTGCTATACGTCGATACTAGTTTTGTACCTTTGTTAACATTTTAATACGCTTTTTTCGTAATTAATTAGTATGATGCCACCGCCTACACTATAGGCGTAGTCAAAACATTTATCAAAAATATAAATATCCCTTCAACTAGCTAAGTTAAGAAAAAAATATGGCCACGGCACTGTTTGGTGCCATTGTAACAATTTGCTCTCCGGTGTTATTTGTCCTTGAATTCTTTAGTCATTGGATCATACGGTATCAGAAGTTACGTGAGGTTAACGCACTTGTTTTTTTACGTTTCTGGTATCACATTTTATGCTTTTCGAATGAGATTTTAATGAATGTAAATGTAAGTATAATTTTATTATTATGTGTGTTTTAATATTACTTAGCCATGAATAAGTATAACAAATTTTGGAAATTTTGTTTAGTTTAGTTTGTTTTTAAGCTAAATTTTATATTTTAGGTTAGCTTTTAGCCAACTGAAAATTGAAGTAGATAAAATCAGGATACGAGTATATGAATCTAATGATAAGTGTATTGTAGAGTGGTAAACATTGTTCAGTTTGCCGCATTGTCGGGAGTCCAAAAAGAGTCCTGCCGACACATGCACAGATTCTTTTCGCTCCAGCTCGAAACAATGCTCCAGCACACAGAGCCTTTTTAACATGGAGGAGACTGGCTGACGTCCCAAATCGCCTCCTACTCCCAAGGGTAAAAACTATATCTCGCGAGGCCATCACGCTGTTCGCCAAGCGAGCTGCTTTTGATGGCGGCACAGCGATTGATTGCTGGTTCGGCCCGTTTGTAATTGTTGGGATTTTACCAGTTGATATTAGATAACATGCCTCATTGAAGTCTTATTTGGTTAGAGAGCACGATACTTTCCGCAGTTGTTAAGATCCGTCCTTGATCGCGTCATTTTGCAAACATGCGATTGTATGGCAAAGAAATGTCGTTTTCTACGCTTGTCAGGCAACCATTCGCTTATAGCCATATGGTTCCACAAAGTCGATGACGGCACAGCGCAGTCGTTGGCGATGACTGAAAGCAACGGTTGGATCAGATGCAGCAACGGATGAAGAAGATACGGTTGCTTTCTAAGACAGCCTAAAATGACAATGCTGCTGAGGCCTGTTATCAAAGTCTGGTCACACTGGCCACGGGCACCAGCTTAGAGACCCTGGCTCCGTTTTTCAATCTCCTGTGTCGATTTTTTCAGTTTTTTCAGTGTTGCTAACAGAGGCTGCCAGAAAGTCCAAAACAGAAATTCGCCACACCATCAGTCAGCAGCAAAATTCCGATGGGCTGGATGCAACAACATTTCAGCACTGATTGTTGCAGTGCCGCCGGAGCGAAGATGCCGCGAGTGCAGTCACTTTGCGCCAGGATGATCATGCGGTTTATAATTTTTTCATAAATTGCTTGCGCCTGTCGGCGAATTTTATTTTAGTTCACTGGCCATGAGCGGCTCGAGTTAATTTGGCGCATACCTGTGTATACATACCTGAAGATCTGTAGTAGGCCGTAATAGTTTTAAGTAGCTATTTTGTTTATTTTATTGTTATTTTTTTGGCTGTACTTATGTCAACATATCTACAGATCCAGTAAAGTCAGGCACACAGATTTAAACAAATAATTTTTATTGAAAAACAAAGGCTTGAGTGATCTTCCTTATCGTAATCACAGCGCATTGCATACCTAATCTTTTTTACCATGTCTTAGCTGATGTAAAATTTAATCCAAACATAAGAAATATTTTGTTGATGGCTTGATCATCGTGTCTAGTGAGAAGAAGTTGTGGGTCGTGTTATTGTCATGGATATAATCCTTTACCATGCAGTGGGCTTGGCAGATGCGCGATTGTCGAACGTTATTTTGTTGCTTTTTTCGGCCCGCGAATGCCGATGTTTTTAACACAGGTTTCATGGTCTATGTTTGTTTTGTTCATGCCGGGGGATTTTATTTTTAGGTTGTTAATCGTTAGGCAACAGTAAACTCATAGAATGGCGAGTTTTTTTCATGTCGTACCGTCACTTCCAAATTTCGGTTGTTCAAAACGTCGTTTTAGATGTCATTGTCCAGTCATTAGCCTGAATTTCAATGACCAGACCATAATATTTGTCAGCGACCTTTAGCGATTTTACTGTTTGTGTGCAGGCAGTATAAACTTTATTAGGCTGGCAAAAGCAGCAGCTTATTAAGAAGAGGTTACCATGTGTCAAACAGATCAATTCGTCTTAGCGTTTTCTCTTATTGAATCGATATTACTCGTCGCAATAGCTGACAGGCTATGTTGCCGAGCTGGCTGTTTGTACCTTGCCAACATTTAACAAAGCTGCAGATGAATATAGGCGCGTCAAAACACCATCGCGGCCGAGGTCAGCTGCTTTCTCGTCGTTAGTTGCCACGGTCATCTTGGCATCGTCGTTGCGCTTGCCTCGCAGTTATTTGTCTCCGATTTGTCATTTCAGAATGTTGTGCCATTGCAGCATCAGCCATCTAAAATGTCAATCACACCAGCCATTCATCATTTATCGCAGCCATTGTCGCCCGGATTTGCCCGACGGCCCGGTTCAAACAAAGCAGCGAAATTTTTTTGAAAATTTTTTTGAAGTCGTTTTGTTTTTGGCCATAGCAGCCGTGCTCCAGAAAGATCCGTTGTTCTCGTGTTTTAAAACATTTTTTGAAGCTCCAAAACTCGTTATTTTGACTAAAGAGCGCATCTACCACTCAGCTTGCAAGGCCTCAGCAAGCTGATAGTCCTCATTTTAAGAGTCTTTCGCAGGCCGGTGCCAGTTCGTTGTTGGTATTTGCGGCCAACGAGTTTGTGATTCTTTCTGCCGCAAGAGCGCGCCACATCCCATTCTAATAATCTGAATATGCATCGTGTCACTGCGCAGTGATAAGTTTGGCTGAAAGGCTCAAGTCTTCTGAGTTTAATACTTGAGACAATGCGTTTTGTCAACGACCAGCTTTCCAATCTTTTTTTTCAAATGATGTTTTTCCTTTCTGTTTCTTGCTCGATGTAGGCACTTCTGTCACATACCTTGCCTGAAAGAAATGGGCAGTCAGATATTTTTCGTCTTGTTATGTTTTTTCATTACTGCAAATCTTTTCATTGTCAGATCCAGCTATTGAAGCCCTTTTTGTCCGCTTTACCAACTTAGTCGGCGAGTTCAGCACCCCCAGATCAGCAGCACATTCAGTAGTCTCATTTCGTTTCGTATTTCATTAAACAGTTTAGTAAACATAGCCTAGGGCAAAGCTTGTTACGACTGCGCCTAAATATGACCGGCATAATGTTGCCTGGCGTAGGCTTATTCCTATTTAAGCGAATCTGGGATTCGACTGAAATATTTTTGCCAGTCAAATTGGCGCAGCAGGCTCCAGTTGCGCGATAGCTTTAAACAGCTCAGCCTAAGAGTTGTAAAAAATTATTTGGTTGTTTGGGCGACATCTGCCAGCTGCCTCCACCATATTTCCATCTACCGAAGGAGATATTTACAGTAATATATTTGATAAACCAGTATACTGTAAACAGTTTGCAGTATTTAATTGGAGAACCCAGTAATAGATGTCGCTAAAAGACAATAAATTATTTTTTTACAATATACAAATTTGAATGTTTTAAAAATATTTATGTCCATATTTAATAGATTTCTATGCCTTATTAATTATTTAGATAAAAATGAAAAGATACAAATATTTCAGTCAATTCTAGTTCAGCTAAGAATAGGAATAGAAATTTTCTATAGGTAACGTTAGTACTCGATGCAGTTATTTATATTTAGAATTACGCGAGTCGGTGTACAGAATAAACTTTGCCTAGGCTAATGTTTTTTTACTAAACGATTTTAGTGAGAAAAATACGAAAAAATGTCTGAAAATAAGTTTCTAGATATTGCCTATAAAGATTTGTGCAGCGAGAAAACACTGCAATCTAATTCACAAGGATTCTTCTTGAACTTCGCCGATTTCGTGGTTGAGGAAGTTGGTAAAGCTTGGATAAAAGAAAATTTCAATAAACTGAGATCTGATAATGAAAGAATTAAATTTGTTTACGAGTGTGAAAAAGTAAAAAAAAACATAATAAAGTTGAAAAATATCTATTTATTTATTTCTTTCAGGTAAAAGATTATGTGTTAAATTTTCTATCGAATGTTAAAGAAGTATACAGAGAGAAAAACGCATCATTTTCACAGAAAAAGAGATTGGAAGCTGATCATTTATTAAAACAAAAAGATCCACGAAAAGCTTTGATGTTATATTGTCAAAGTGTATTAAGAGCTCCAAGGACAGGTAGTTGTTCGTACATTCTTCAGCCAAACACTTCTTATCACACTAATTTATTTATTACACGATGCATATTCACAAGATTTAAATATTAAATTAGGATCTTGAAAAAAGTTTTATGTTTCTTTACTGATAGAGAAGAATCCACAAAATAAAAAGTTATTTTTTATAAATACCAACTGCTTGATTCCAAACGGAACTAGCTGAGTTTATCTTCACATTCCTCTTAAAATATTTTATTTTTTTAGAACAACAGTGGTGGGTGCCCAGAAATAAGTGCAAGTATTTTAAGGCGTGGTAGATCTCGATAAAAGAAACATATTTTTTTCTCTTTGTCGTTTAGTCCAAAATAACGAGTTATATTACTTTGGAATTTTTCAAAAATGATTTTTTTCTAAAATTTTGAGAACCAATGGATCTTTTCTAGATTTTGTTTCTTGTAAATTTAATCTAATACCTATATTGCCAAAAAATAAAAACTATAAACATTTCCAAAAAAATTTTCAAAAAATTTCGAATTTTCAAAACAGTTTTTCGCAAAAAAACGATTTTTGGGCCGGGCCGCCACAGATACCATGTCCGGGTAAATCCGGACGTATGGAAACCCTATGTATTATTAATACGATAAATGATGGAGATAAACAATTGTGATTGATTAAAATTTTATTTTAAGATGAAACTTTTGTTAACAACTTTTAAAGCCCTCCATATTAACAACATTCTGAGAATTCCAATGACTAAAGAATCCAAGGACAAATAACACCCGAGAGCAAATTGTGACGATGCCATCAGACAGTGCCGTGGCACATATTTTTCTTAACCTAGCTGTTTGAAGCAATATTTATATTTTTTGATAATTGTTTTGACTACGCCTATGGTGTATCATCCTAATTAATTACAAAACGTATTAAATATTACAAAGTACAAAAACTAGTATCGACGTATAGCACATATCAAGCACATATAGATATTAATTGAAATTGAAGAATAATTATTTGAATTCAATAAGAAAACGCTAAAAGTTGGAGTGGACTGATTTACCTATGAAACGTAACTCCTGGCTCTTTCTTATCGCTGCTGCTTTTATACTTGAAAGCTGAACAACCAATCACCATTATAATAAAGTTTATACAAAGTTTACTACACACAAACTCATTAAAAAATCGCTAAAAAATTGTCGCTGGTGACCAAATCATGACTCATTATTATGTATATATCCTTATATCTTTTTAGTCATTGGAGAATTGAAATAATGACAAAGACAGTTTTGACATCTGTCTAAAGACGGCGGATTAAGAGTTGACCAATTTTGGGTTATGTAAAATTTAGAGTGACAATTTTGATTATGGAAAAGAAATACATATTCTATGAGTTTACTGGTTGCCTGACGATTAACATTAATTTAAAAATAAATCCCCAGCATGAATAATGAACAAAACATTTAAACAAAAATAGACCATAGAAAACAAATTGCTGCATGTGTTAAAAAAACATTTAATCGGCATTAAGAGACAATTTCACTAGTCCGAAAAAGTAGCAAAATAAGCGTTCGGCAATTAACGTTTTATGTAAAACTGGCTAGGTATTTTTACTCACGTGAAGAAGAAAATTAAAGATAAAGGATTATACTATATCCGTATTGTAGCACATTTTTTCAACTTCTTTATATTTAAGATTTTGATGGTCAAACATCAACAAAATATTTCTTATGTTTGGATTAAATTTTTATCGAAAATAAAGACATAATTTAAAATTCCGTTGTAATACGGAAATAGATTAAAGTTTTGTGATTACAGTGATACATAATGTATATGATTTTCTAACAAATTGCTCGCTATTTTATGGCAAATGATGAAGCTCTGCAAACCTTAATCAAAGAACGTGTGTTTGAAATTTTGGGTGTAGCTTAACTTATTTAGTTTTAATTAAGAAAAATATAACAGATAAAAGTAAATAAACAAAATGCGTACTCTTAGATACCTAGGTTCACAAGAGTACGCAAGGTATATGTATACTCAAGAGTATGTATACACAAGAGTATGCATGAAAAATATAAATTAACTCTGGTATAAGATGGCTTATTCTGAACTAAAATATAAAATTCATGACGGAACAAACTAATAGTTTATGAAAAAATTATAAACCGCATAAGTCACAACAAAATTGACTGCCTCCCTGGTAACGGGAGCAGGCTTCATGCCACCATTCCTGGCAACTTTGACACTGCAACCAATCTGAAGTGCTGAAATGTTCGTTGCATCCAGGGCAAATTCTCTTATCATCCTTATTATTCACTTTTTTTGTGTTACGTTTTTCAGCTGTAGATTTGAAAACATTTCTTACACCAGATGTAGGTTTTTTCTTTGCTTGTTCTTCCAACAACTGGTCTTTATATGGTGTAGAAGAAAGAATTTCTGATTTTTTGGACTTTCTTTTTCTTGTCTGTTCATGCTTGGCACTTGGAAAAGACAAAATCATTTTGGGAGTTACTGAAGAAGGGCCAGGAGCATCTAAACTGGTTGCATCTAGTGAAGTAGTGGGTGTTGGACTTTGATAACCTGAATTTTCAGCAACATTTTGTCGATTTTTAGATGCAAATGTAGAAAGCAGTAAATTATCTTCTTCATCCGTTGTTGCTGCATCCTGATTATTGTTGCTTTCAGTTCATCCCATTTCAGGTGCTGCTTCAATATTAGGCTTGTTTGTCACTTCAGCTGGTGCGAAATCATGTTCAGTAAAAACGTCTGGGTTGTATGGATACAGGCCCGTGCAGGCAAAAGATTTCTCACAAATTTGAATGGTTGCTACTTTTGAATAAGCTGCATGGAAGAGAGCGGCCATTTCTTTCATCGTGATAGTTTGGCCAGCGTTGTTCACAATCCACTTATCACATTCATTTGCAAAGGCTGACTTTAATGGGAAGAAAAATCCGCGATCCAAAGGTTGGATCTTGTGGCTGGCTTCCATGGGGAGGCAACGTTAAAAGAATTATGGAATGCTCTCTAGCAAATAAGATGGCTTCTAGCGAACAATGGGACACATGGTTATCTAATATCAATACCACTGGATCAGCTTTGGTTGGCTTTACGAATTCGCAGAAATGTCTTAACCAAGTTACAAACAATTCCGAATTAATATATCTAGTATCCGAAATCATCTTTAATGTACCTACTGGTGCGCCATAAAACAGCTCATCCTTCATGCGCTTTCTGGCGAAAATAAGTCCCGCTGGCACCCAGATACCCGAAGCGCTCATACAGCAGACAGCGGTGACCAATTGGCCTCTTTCGGCAGAGACTACTTTTGAAACAGTTTTTTTACCCTTGGGAGCATAGACCTTGGGAAGTTTGTTTGGGACCGTCGAAAGCCCAGTCTCGTCCATGTTAAAGACTCTATGTGCTGGAGCATTTGTTTTCGAATAAACAGATTTTAAATTTTGAAAGAATCTGTCGCATTGTATTTTATTAAACCCAATAGTGCGAGCTAGGCTACATTTTTCTGGACTCCTCACGGACAATGAATTTCGTGCGGCAAAGGCTTGAACCCAATGTTTGCCCACCATTTTTTTTTCTGTATCAAATCGGTGCGAAATATGATTGACTTCAGCAAACTGGTACGCTAAAGATCTTACATCCCTAACGCGTAATCCATAAAAACGGACATCAAGTTCGCGAATGTGGTCAGCTAATTCTTTCTCTTGTTCTGCCGTAAATACTGGTTTAAACCTTCCCAAACTCTCTGGAACAGTGCCCTAAAAGTTATAAAAATAAAACCCTGTTGAAATGCGACTATTAAGTATAATATACCAAACGTAGCCTTTTTCTGAGCGAAACCTCGTTGACATTGAATGATTTAGCTACTGATCTTTTACTCTCTCCTTTTGCAAAACGTTGTTGAGCTTGGACTAACATTTCATGAGTAAATTTTAGTTCTCGGCCACTTTTTCTTTTATACTTTCCCATTTTGATGTGGATTTGAGTATGGACTATGGATATCTAAAAATAATGTAGTGGGTTCCTAAGAGTACGCGCGTACTCTTTGGTTGCGTACTCTTGGCGACCACGTGAGAATATTACACTAATGGCCTTTTCTAGAGAAAAATGTAACATAACCTTAAAATTGGTACATGATAACCTACTATAGGAGTCGCTTTTTAATGGGTATAAAAGGATTTTTAAAAAAATTGCAAAAACGAGTTTCTTACCGTATTTATATGACCTTAAGCGCGAACACTACTAAACTTTAACATCATTCTCGGAGAAGTATTGGCGGTAACTGAACGCAGCTGACGTGAAATCAGAGTTGCCGAATTTAAAATATGGCGACTTCGTACTCTTAGGGAACGCGTACTCTTAGGCGATCCTCCCCTATATAATTTATATGGTTTTGTAACAAATTGCTCGCTATTTTATGGCAAATGCTGAAGCTATACAAATCTTAATCTAGCCTTAATCAAAGCACGTGTGTGGAATTTTGGATGTGGCTTAACACGACAGGATCGGGCTAAGCCTTAGGCAGATTTCTGAAATATAATACATATATGTTTTCTTCGGCCACATACCCGCTTTACCCGACCCCTGAGGGCAACCCGAAAATACAGCGTAATAGAATAGACTCTTAGACAACCGACACGTGCTAACAAGAGAAAAAAGTTAGTGGCATACATTTTTTTTAGAAATATATTCCAGCGACTACACATACGTTCCTGGTTCTGGTACATCTATCGACACATTTTTAGTATTAAAATATGTCGCATTTATTTTCATTGTCGCAAAATTTCATTCGAATCGCTAAAATATCATTAAATTATTCAATAATACTTATTTTTTAATGTTACAAAATATTAGGTGTTCGTAACTTATGTTGTATTTTATTTTAGGTGCCGATGTACAAATTGATTCAGGATTATCTCTATCGTTAGCACTTTGGGGTAGGTCTCAAGCCCTCATAGAATTAAGAAAATATAGAGAGGCTCTGTCCGACATTCAGCAAGCTTTAAAAGAGAATCTGTCGGGTTCTTATAAAGCTCAAGCTTTTTGGAAAATGGGTATTTGTTATAGAGCCATGAATGATGAAAATAAGGCAAAAGTATCGTATGACTTAGCGGAAAAATTATTAGGCAATGACAAGGAGAAAATTAGACAGTTAAATGAAGATAGAATGAGAAGTTTTCCTAAGGAAGAAGTAACGGTAGATAGTCGTAAGTTCTTATGCAAGGTGTTCAAAAAACATGTGCCATCTCTCATGAAGAAATTTCTCACGCAAAAATATGATTTATTTTTTATATCAACAGAAGTCCGATTCTGCGTTGTTTTGTAGTTACAGGTGGTTAATATTATTTTTTTTTCGATTTATTTTAATTTTCCTCCAAGGGCTTTTAGAGATTCGAATGAAATTTTGAGGGTAAAAGTTATTATAAGTGTTACATGTTTTAGTACTAAAAGAGTGTTGACATATTTACCAGGGACGTGCATGTGCGCTATCACGGAAATATTTTCCTAAAAAAACATGTGCACCACTGACTTTTTTCCCTTATAAACAAAAATTATATAGGCCGTTTAATGCCGATTAAAATTTGTATTTTGATATTTTGATCTCATTCATGAAATAAATGCATTTTTTTTATAAAATAAAAGTAAAATTAATATAATTATTTTTACTTTTATTAATAAGTAATTTTTTTAAACTATTTTATTACTAAATTTTAATAAAATTTGTAATACTGATGTTCAATGCTACCTACAGCACAGCAAATTAAAAAAAATAATGGTATTTAAGATACAGAAGACCAATTTTTTTAAGTTTTAACATTCTGCAACTTTATAACTATGCATTTCCAAACCTATGTTTATAGGAACTTTCTTTTTATATTTTTTTATGAGGAATCAATGAGCACTTATTTAACACTTTGGACAGTTAATGACTTTAAAACAATTTAAATGTAGCTATCATAACCTTGGATTAAGGCAAATTAATAAAATTGTATTTATCTTTTACCTCATTAAATAGACTGAAATCGACAAAATATCAAGAAGCATTTTGTTATAATTTTAACGGCATTAAGTGACCTACACTACTGTGCTAAGAAGAAAAAAAGTCAGTGGCGCACATTTTTGTTAAGAAAAATATTCTAGTGATAAACCATATGTACGTTCCTGGTAAATCTGTGGACACTTTTCTAGCATTAAAATATGCCCCACATATAATAAATTTTACCTAAATTTCATTGGAATAGCTAAAAGCACTTGCAAGAATACTATAACAAATCGAAAAAAATGACTTTAACCCCCTCCCAAGTAGCAAATTTTATTTTATTTTTTATAGGATACCTCAATTCATATAACGTGCTATAAGACCGTAATATGATAGCTTTACAACCAAAAAGGCCCATTTTTATACAACCTTTTAGTAGTATAGAAGTTCTATAAAAAGGGTATACAACTCTTATGCAACTATTTTACACAGCGTTATATAACTATTATAAAACTTGTTTTATTGTGTATTACGTGGTCACATCTAAGAAACAGAACAATAAAAACATTTGATCATTTAGCGAGGTAAAAGAGTATTTTATTTTTTACCGAAGAATATTAGGAGCAAATTATATTTTAACCGTGTCGTAAAATGAATCTAGAGGATGTGGATTGTTAAAAAGGAGACTTTACTCGACAATGAAAATGGCGGGTAGAGCCAGAAGGTACAACAAATATGTAATATAAAAAATCATTAATAGGGTTTGAAAAGTAGGGACAATTTTTGTTGCGCCGAAAATTTTACTGGTAGATTATAGGTATGTATTTGGCAAAAAATTAAAGCGCTTTAATTTCGATTAAGGTTTACGTATAAATTTAAACAATAAAATAAAATAAAATTTTCAAAAATGCTTGTTTTTAATTTAATTAAACACTTTATTCCTGTATGTGGGAATCTTATCACAAAATAGTTCTCAAAAATAACATTTTCAATTTATTTTGATGTTTTTAATTTTGCTTCATATAATGACGGCCATACAAAAATTCTGCCTTAAATGGCGAATTATAATGCAACCATTTTATTATAAACGAATCCCTTAAATAAGTCTTTGTTGTAAAATAAAACGGTATAGGATAAATATCTATCATTACGCAGAATTTCCAGGCACTATAGAACCATTTTGGACATATTGAGATTTGTGACAAATAGATGTTGCCAAATCTCATTAAGTTGATTAGTATTTAAACTAACAAACATGATCAGATTTTCATGGATTCAATCACGCAATGCATTTCATGCGTGCCTGACGAGTGAGCGGCAACCTAAGGACTTGGAAGAACAACAATAAAACAATACAAACATTACTACAGTAAAACTTTTACATCAACGTGGCAACAATGCTTTGAAGAAGCCAGACAATCCGAGAGATTTTGACTTTTGGGAACCCAGGGAATTCTCGGGATTATTTGCCGTAATTTCGAGGAGTTTTTTCTCACATGCTCTTTTTAACTACCACTGCGTTTGTTAACTTTTTTCCAACTTTGTCCAGAATTCATAATAGCTGTAATTGATTATACTCGTACATAGATATTACTTTTGCAGCAACAACAATAACAAAATAAATAACTAGGTATACCATTTAATTTAAAATGAGGTTATATTATACATTACCAGTTTTATAATGTAGATATAACAGCGAATTTATTTTGTTAATCACAATTTTATCAGATAAGGCTATATAACTGGTGTTGTATACAGCACCGTAGTTTAACGCAATAAAACATTCTATCATACAACGTAATACAACTTTAATAAGACAAGTTTAAGGAATTTTTATATGATCTTGTGACTATTAGTTATATGAATATTATAGAACTCTTCCATGATGGGTATAAGAGTCTAATAAAATAATATGTTTGTTATTATATAGCATTGTCTTATTAAGTGTTATATCATACTAAAAGAACTTGTCGTTTAATGCGTTATAGGATACGTTGTAAAAACCACTAGAAAATAGTTTAATATGACAACATTAATTAAAAAACAGAATGGTCGAAACCAAACGCTTAATAAAATCAAGTAGTCCTTAAGGCAACGCTATTCGACTGTGATAAAATAATTCAATCCTTTTAGAATTTCTTTTTGCTACTTGGGCTGTAGCTACGAAACAACGCAGAATCGGTCCTATGAAGAGAGAAAACTTTTATAATCAACTGTATTTATGAATTATCTTCTACTTGTTATAATTTTGCTAGAATAATGAATTGCGACAAAAGGAGTCCATCATATATATCGTATTTATAGAAAAACCGAAATTGTCAACTGAATTTAAACACAACTTACCAAACGCCAGTGGTAAACTGTCAGTAAAAATTTCAAAGGAAGCAGGCCGATATATCATAGCAAATGAAGACATACAATCAGGAGAAACACTGGTGGTTGAGAGTCCATATGTTGCATGTTTGCTTCCAGAAATGTTTGGACTTCAATGTCATCACTGCTTTAAAAAGTAAATTGTATCTAATATACAATTCTATACTTATATACAGGGTGTCCCAGTGTGAGATTTTAGTCTTTGATTAGCAGTTTCTAGAGAACTACAATATCTAGAGCGAAGATTTTTTGCACATCATTGTTTTACAACGACATCTATCGATTAAAAATATTTACAATATGGCGGCACTTCCGGAAATACCAGAAGTTGACAGCAACTTTCTTATTTTAAATGGGTGCCCCCATTTTTTATTACAAACTTAAATTATCTGTAAAATTCTATGAATATTGATGTTAAACACTCTATACCTAACATTTACCATTTTTAAGAAAAAAATATTCAACATTTTTGGACGAAAAAACTACAGACTACCTGTCAAACAATTTTTATAGCATAAAAGTCAAATTTTGTGGTTACCACAGCCGCTGTTGCATAAAGAGAAGACATGTGGCTATCTATTTCATAATTTAAATTGTTCGAATGTCATATATTAGCCGTAGCTGTCATGGAATTGAGCGATTAAAAAATTATCATAAATCATTTTTTTCAAATGGAACCCAACTTTTTTATTTCACGGGATGAAAGGATCTTCAAAATTTTTCTTTTTAACTATACATGTTCCTATACATAGTTAAGATTTAATTTGAAAACGTATATTTTTCTTGATTTTATCTAGCTTCCTTTGACATTAAGTGTCAAACGGTCAGACAATTTATTTCCATCTGTCAGAAAACGAATTATTTGAATCCCTATATTATAAATACTGCCTCCTTAAGAGTTTAAAAAATGTATTTAAAAAAATATATCTCGTGTTTTCGCTTTTTAGTGATATCAAAGATAATTCTACAACTATAATATTCTTTGGTGATATCTAATAGATAATATTATTAATAATTCCGTGTGATTGAAAAAAAAACAGCGCAAAGTTGGCTCGGAAATTATGCTGCTTTTTGAATAAAGCGTCACAATATAACATGGCCAGATCTATTGTTTTACACTTGACGTTTAAAGTCATAGGCTACTGGTTAAAATCAAGAAAAATATACGACGTATATTGTATGCGAAATATATTGACGTTTTAAAACTATATCTTAAATAACTTAAAAACGATTTATTTTAGGTATAAGAACATGTATAGTCTAAAAGTAACGAATTGAAAAACCTTTTCATTAGTGAAATAAAAAAGTGGGTTTCCATTTGAAAAAAATAATTTATGATCATTTTTTAATAGCTCAATTCTATGACAGTTGCGGCCATTATTATATAACATTCGAACAATTTAATTTTTGAAAAAGATAGCCACATGTTTTCTCTTTATGACACAGTGGCTGTGGTAATCACTAAATTTGACGTTTAGGCTATACACATATTTTTGACAGGCAGTTTTTTTTTCTTTCAAAAATTTTAAATATTTTTTTTCTCCAAAACGGTCAATAGTATCAAATAATATCAAAATTCATAAAATTTTACAGAGAATTTAAGTATGTAATAAAAAATGAGGGCACCCATTTAAAATGAGAAACTTGCTGTCAACTTCCGGTATTTCCGGAAGTGTCGCCATATTGAAAATCTTTTTAATCGATAGATCTCGTTGTGAAACTATGATGTGCAAAAAATCTCAGAGCTAGATGTTGTAGTTCTCTAAAAACTTCTAATGCACGCTCAGACTGGGACATCCTGTATAAGTAAATACTTATTCCTTTTCACTTAGTTTAGAATCTCCTATGGGATGTCTCGACTGCTCTAGTGTAGCATTCTGCACATCAAAATGTAGAGATGAGGCTGTATCGACGTATCACAAACACGAATGCAAATATCTGGATCTTTTAATCGGATCTGGAATGAGCATTCTGGCCCATTCTGCATTGAGAATGGTTACGCAAAATGGTTTGAAGAAATCTTTAGATATCTATCACAATAGGAAGAACGAAAAGGCATAAAACAATTATTGAATTAAAGGTATAGAGTATCTATATGTCATAAAACCGTTGTAGATATATGCACTGTGTACTCATGTGCAGCAACGTCCACCTTTAGATTTCTTCCAAAGATCTCTGATGGCTGCGTTTCTTTTAAGATGTTTACAAATGTCAGGATTTTTTCCAAACACATCTAGAGATCAAGGTAAAACATGTTTTTTTAAATATTTCTAGCTATACATATAATCATTATATTTTTCTGTGCTTTATAATACCTACTTTGTTATAGTTGTGCCAACAGAAGAAGGATATCAAATTGGAGAAATGTTGCTTTTCAATTTGCAGATGCTTCAATTCAATGCCCATGAAGTATACGTTACAAAATATACATCTAGTCAGAAAGTTGTGGATTCGAAAATAGTCTATATTGGAGTAGCATTGTATTTAACTACTTCAATATTTAATCACGATTGTCATCCAGCAATGACAAGGTCAGTATATGAAGATTTCACCTTATCACTGAGTGCGCCGAGACGACAACTGTTCGTGCCATCAACTTTGGTACGGCTGATGTCGAAGATGGAGAGCTGGCCTTTGTGGAGCCGTCTCAGATACTGGCTTTTGTCAAAGCTCTGATATTGTAAGATCAGTTATAACCCGCTACAACTCAAGAAAGGGGAACACCCACTAGATCTGTAAGGTTGCGGTGATTGATTTAGGAGGATGTTAAACATTCTACATTCATTATGAAGATTTTCAGCATCATTAAAGTTTGATCTTACATCATACAGCAGCATACACTTTCAAATCCTACTTATACTGGGTGGTGTATCGTCGTTGGAGGCATATGGGAAGGAAATCCTATGCAACTTTTGAACTGTCGCGTAATATTTGCGTATGGGAAATACACATAATACACAATTCAAATTTGAACAATCTTGGACAAGCTTATTTTAACGAATTTAAGAAAAAGTGCATTTATTTTTAAATTGAAACTATACAGGTAGCAATGCAAAACCAGTCAAAACCAACCAAGTCATTGACAACTTAAAATATGTTGGTATTTGTCTGATTTTGCATTATTCGGTTTCAATTTAAAAATAGATACAATTTTTCTAAATTTAGTTAAAATGAGCTTGTTAAAAATTGTTCAAACTTGGCCTGTGTATATACAAACAGTGGAGGCCAAAACATTTAGACAGTTCAAACACAATTAATATAATTCTTCGTAGTCGTTGTAGCATTTTTCATTTCCTTTAATAAAATTGAATTTAAAAATCTATTTTTATTTAAATTTCTTAGTATTGGCGCCATCTATTTGCTAGATGCCAAAGATACCAAACTCCATTTGTTACAGCTCACTTGTCTCGATATTTAATTTTTATTAGCGCATCTATTCGCTAGATGTCAAACTTCATTTATTACAGTCCACTTGTCTTGTTTATTAGCGCCATCTATTCGCTATTTGCCAAACTTCCTTAATTGCATTTCACTTGTCCGAATCTCACTTCGCTGCGGATTGCGATTTTCTGTTCTAATGATTTCGATCATATGATATCACTTTTCTCTCTCTCATTTTGTCTGTGGTGAAAAGGTTTTTTTTGGCTTCGGTTCTGAAACTGAGAAGAAGGTCTTTTTTTCTGAGAATTTGGATCTGAAGAAGACGCGTGTTTCGGCGTCCGACAAATTTTCCAGTGAAAAGCACTCTGAATCCACTTTTCGATTTCCATTGCATGGGTATCCGATTTGGAAATTTGAAAACCTTGTAAAGCATGCAATCCAGAGTATAGATCGTATTTGTTTGGTTTCTTCTTGGAATGATCACCGTAAGTTTATCCGCCATTTTATATAGCCCTATCTAACTAAATTCTATTTCAGTCATTTCCGTTTTTTATTTTGTTTATATGAGTATTTAATTACTGGTTTGGATCGGCATATGGTTTGAATATATTTATGTAAAGCTGATTTTGAGACCGTAAGTTGTTTTTTTTATTGAGTATCTGTCCTGAGAACTATTTTTTATTTATAGAGTAACTACCACATGGTACTCAGTAATTACCACATGGTATGCAGTAATAATGCAGTAATTATTGTATGTTTCACGCACTTTCATTTTGTATGGACTTATGCAGACCTTAAGACAGTGTTCATGACATTACAATCGTTCTTTTGGCTGATATCGAAGACTTCTCCTGCCATAGTCATCTGCATCCACTTCTGTTAGTCTGGAGAATACCTACCTACCTGTTTACATCATAAGAAACTATATACATATAAGTCTCTTAAGTTTGATACTCAAGGTACACTTTTATTTTATAATTTTTGAGACAACAGATTTAATAACCTGGTAAATTATCACTATTTATCCCACATATTGTAGTCAAAATTATTTTTTATTTAACGTTATAAGTTATAATTTGATTCGTACAGTACACTCTTACTTAGCTATGATATTTTATATGAAAATTATTAACACGTATTCATTTTAAAGGTTCTTGTACACGACATGTTTCGAAACATCATCGTATTGAGACATACATAAATTTCACCTGTTTTTATATTAAGTAGCTTACTTAGTTCAAAGAATACAGTTACTAAATTCGAATCTATTTAAAATAACTTGCGGTTTTATTGGGATCACTGTGACTAATTGATGATACTTGTGTTCGTTTTCAATAAATGTTTAATGTAGGATAGTTATTTCTGACTTTTATTCCTGATAAACATAATAGACCCTTAATGCTGTTGATTACTTTATTTTAGCTATGTTGTGATATCGTATTTTTCTTTTTGGTTTCTTACTTTACCACTCTCATAAACAAAGTAAGTGGCGCCCTTTTCACTGTCTTTGACCATACCTATTTGAATTCTTAACATCAATATTAAAATCTCTGCAGCCTATATATTATCATTTTTTTATTTTTTAACAACACTAGAAAGTCACTGAGAGTCAGAAGCCTTACCTACGAACCCAGCTTTCCTCTAACCCTGAGCAACGGATTGATTTTTTTCATTCTATTTGGGTATCGACAGAAAAGTCGTCACATCGTATTCTCTCGTCTGAGAAATCATGTAAATGGATGCATTTACTCTAGTTTTCCAAGTTTGATGGTCCTCACCTCAGGATTTCACCTCTGGACTACCATAAGTTTAGTTTTGCTGAGATTTAATTCCAGGCCCATCTTAGCACTTTCTCTCATCACTCTATCTGACACTATCTTCATTTCTGCCTCTTCTCTCGCTAGTAACGTGCTATTAATGAATTATGAAATAGTTGTGTTTTCATAATTTTAGTGGATATGATCGACACATATTTTTTCGATTTTTTTTATAGTAGTAAATTATTATAAGTAATAATTATTTGTTAGAATATTAGACACGCAGTTGTATTAATCAAAATATACATTTGTGTAGATTGTAGATTGCATGAGAGGGGAGAGGTTAATCACCGCGACCTTGTACATCTACTGTGTCACCCTTTCTTGAGTTATAACTCATAATACAGTCTCAAGGCTTTGACGAAGGCCAGTCTCTAAGCCGGTTTTACAGAGTAGTAGTTTTTTCTCCGATATCAGTCGCACAAAAGTTTACGGCACGAATGGTTATCGTCTCTCTAATTTAGTTAAAATGAGCCTGTTAAAAATTGTTCAAACTTGGCCTGTGTATTTACAAACATTGGAGGCCAAAACATTTAGACAGTTCAAACACAATCAGTATAATTCTTCGTAGTCGTATTCTCTCGTCTGAGAAATCATGTAAATGGATGCATTTACTCTAGTTTTCCAAGTTTGATGGTCCATTGCTTCAGTTAGCAGAGTTTGTAGTGGTGTATTTGTGATTTTCTTGACTTTGGACTTGGTTTAACCATGTAACAGGTGACCTGCCTCTCTGTCGTTTTCCTTCTATACCTTTCCCTGTACTATTAATTTTTCTAGGTTGTCTCCCTCTCGTTTTGTAGTGTGTCCAAAATATTTCAGCATACGTCGGCCACATATTGAAAACAATCTGTCTTTGACCTTTAACTCCTTTAGTATAGATGCATTTGTGCGTTTCTCTGTCCAAGATATACAATTCAAATGCATCTATTCTTCGTACGTCTAATGTTTTCATTGTCCAGGAATCCGCTCCGTACAGAATGACTGAGAATATGAGCGATTTTACTAACATGATCTTCGTATTTCTTGTAATGTGTGTAATATTCTTGTGACGTTACTAATGGCTCCTCGCACAGTATAACGAAATCGGGAAATGCGGGACATTAGCCCAAAAAACAAAAAATTTAATTCATCAAGTTTTTTATATAGATGAATAAAGGACATCCCAGAGTTCCACCATATGAGATATTTCTTGAGTTGACCTCTTAGTCGGGGAGTTATGACGGGTTAAAGTTATGGTTTCCTTAATTTACCAAATCTGTACAAAAATTTCATACAATGAAATTTATTATTTTCAGAAGTTCCCTTGTGTTGTTCAATTCCAACAATTTTTTCCGTAAAGAGAGGTCTTTTACCAACAACAAACCGGAAAAAAATGTCCCAATTTTTTTCAAGTCTAGTTTCTACATATTTATTATGACTTTCAAAAAAACGCTTACATTCGCGCAAGGTTATATATACAAAATATCATAGAGTGAACCTTCTAGTATACTGTTACATATAAATTTCATCCACCTAGATCCGAACCTGGAAGAAAAAAATAAATTTCTTCGGCGATAATTACGTTTTCCATTGATTCGACCGTAGTTTGGTGACATGAAAGAGACAGCAGAACTATTTGTTTCCCTTTACGGTTGGTATTATATGCCTTCAAGTATTCATATGCTTTTGATTCATGGTGCAGATATCTGTGAACGTTCTCAATTTATACCCATCGGCAAAATGTCCGAAGAAGCATCTGAATCAAGAAACAAAGAATTTCGATCGTTCCGCCAAAATTTTTCCAGGAAGAGTGGTCGTAAGGAAACTATTTAAGATATATTGCACAACTTATTGATAGATTCAGATCCTCTACTTTCACATCTGCGACCAAAGTACTCTAAAAATAAAAAAATAGACTTGTTTCTGGAAGCAAAAGAGCTCTTGTATATGGATGGAGAAGAAATTAAGAATAATTTTTAAACATGTTTTATGTAAGAGCCTTACATATTATGTTATTTTGGAATAATATACACTCCACATAAATTATCGCATCACTTATTAATTTGGAAAACTGCAAAGTACTCTTAAATTCTCTTGGTTAACAATAATCTCAAGAGTTATTTGCATTAATAGCAACTTGTTAAGGAATGGAAAGTATATCATAACTCAGGCAGACCTCAGATTTAAGTTTTTCACATAAAAATGTTTGAAGCGTTTCAAGAATAAATACAACGAAAAATATGTGTTGCGAAATTCTTTGTGAGGTGTGTATTATGGTTTCCTTTGTTGAAGTTGAATAGGTTTTTTTCGCATATTATCATATTATTTAATACTGTTAAAAGATATTTGCCACTTGTGTCGTTCTCTTTGAGTTTTGCTTTTGTCTTATCTAATTTATCCCTGATTATTTGAATATTTAGGAATGTTGATTGAGTTTTGACATATTAGCGGGAGATAAATGATTGTTCGATAGTAATTTGATAACGTTTTTGCTCCATAAGAGTTATAAACTCTTCGTAAATAAAAAAAATATACCTGTAAAGTCCTTTTATAAAACTTCGTATTTTTTTTGACCTTCCATTACGCCTTTTTTTGCTCTTTTCGCCCTGTAGCAAAAATTCCTAGTCGTATTATTTAATTTCTGTCAAAAAATTTCAGCAAGAGTAGTGATAACTGAAGAAAAATGCCAATGTCCCAAAATTTTAGTTTTCGTTACACTGTGCCTCGTGCCATTGCTATTCGCCTTTTTATTTCCTTTTCGCACTTTCCTTGGTTACTTAATAGGGATCCCAGGTATACAAATTCCTCTACTTTTTCTATATTTATTAGGTTCGGTCGTGGGAGGATTTCACCTCTTGACTACCATAAGTTTAGTTTTGCTGAGATTTATTTCCAGGCCCATCTTAGCACTTTCTCTCATCACTCTATCTAACACTATTTTCATTTCTGCCTCTTCTCTCGTTAGTTAATTGCTATTATTGAATTATGAAATAGTTGTGTTTTCATAATTTTAGTGGATATGATTATCACATATTTTTTCGATTTTTTTTATAGTAGTAAATTATTATAAGTAATAATTATTTGTTAGAATATTAGACACGCAGCTGTGTTAATCAAAATATATATTTGTGTAGATTGTAGATTGCATGAGAGGGGAGAAGTTAATCACCGCGACCTTATAGATCTACTGTGTCACCCTTTCTTGAGTTATGACTCATAATACAGACTCAAGGCTTTAATAAAGGCCAGTCTCTGAGCCGGTTTTACAGAGTAGTAGTTTTTTCTCCGATATCAGTCGCACAAAAGTTTACGGCACGAATGGTTGTCGTCTCGGCGCACTTAGAGTGTTCTGGTGTTTCACCATTTTCCCCACATGATCGTCATTCGCCGTTGTTTCGTAGCTTCAATCTACTGAGTTGTAAAAATGTCCCAAACTAAAGTTTTAGTTTTCTTTTCACATTTTATTACTTTAGTTTTTATCTTTAGGCATTTTGTGGGGAAAGATATTGTGTTAGTGGCAGCAAGACCAATAAAAGCCAACGAACCAGTTCCAGAAAATTACGGAATGATTTTTACCAGAAAAGTCCTGTCTGATCGACAAAGGACACTCTCATCCAGATACTGGTTCCAATGTCGTTGCTTAGCCTGTACTCAAAATTGGCCAGCCATTGGTATGGGTCTTGAACAAGTCAGTAAGAGATTAAAGTAAGTTCGTGAATATTAAGTTTAATAACAATCAAAATTGTGTTTCAACAATTTTGAAACACCCTGTGGGATATGTTAACAAGGCAAGGAATCTAAAAATCATTTTATCATCTAGATACGTCTTTTTTCGATAGTTTGCTTTTCGATTCATCTCAATAGCTTTATTTTTATTGAAGATATTTGTTTTTGAATAAGACAGTAAAATTAACAACAATTTTAGCATTGGTTTTGGGTCCTCATCAACACACTTAGAAAATAGTGTTTTTTTTTTCAATCGTCACAAAAGTATTTGGACGTGATACGAGATTGGCAGTACAAAAATGTCATCTTAACGCCTTGGCATAAAAGTAAAACACTTTTACGCCTAAACATAAAAGTACGAAAATATATTATTAAACGACATAAAGTGTCAAATTCAACAAGCGTAACCATAGTTTCTCGATATACATATACAATATACAAGGTACAAGGTATTAATTTTAAAGCAAAGGCAAAGGCGTGGTTTTAATATAAAAAATACGAAAAAATGTTAGTGTCTTCTCCAAAAAAAAATAAAGCTATTGAGAAGAATCAGAAACAAACTATCGAGAAAAGATACACCTAGATGATGACATTTTTAAATTCTTTGCTTTGTTAACGCAAAGTGCTCCACAGGGTGTTTCAAATTTTCACCAAAATATCAAAATTTTGTTTTCCCTCGTATAATTAACAGATGACAACTCTCATTTTTAATTAAGAAAGAGTTACTAAAAAGTCAAATATTTCAGCAACAAATTGCTTAAAAAATCATCAAAAACGATCCACAAGAAAACAATACCGGGTGCGTGTCAAAAGTGGCTCACCCCTATACCTTTTTTATTTTTTTAGATAAGAAACCGACATTTGGTATGTTAGTACATGACATAAATTAGGATTGATTGACGTATTCAATTGTTTTCGGTCACTTCCTGTTTCACCGGAAATGACTACAACATTTTATTTTTAAATGGCACCCGTTGTATTTTCTTACTTTATTCGATAGAAAATGACGATATGATGATATATCATATGTTAACTTTTGACATTCTCGCTTAATAAAAAATCGTATTTTAAATTTGAATCTAGAGTGCCACGGCTATGTTAAAACACTAATAATTTTTAATCAAGGAGCCTTGGAAAAATAAATTTGATCGTTTAATGTTTTTAGTGTCTTGTCCTAGCCGGTTAAAAGATGTCCAAATCGTATTTTTAATAATATCTCATTTTTTTCAAATGGAACGAAGGTGGCTCACTAGCATATTTGGAAAATGCATTTTTTTTCTGAATAATTTGATACCACACACTTGGTATTGGGAGTCAAATTTTCGTTACGAGCCGCAAGTTATAACTTCAAATAAACCGTATGCGAAAATGTCAAAAGTTGACATATGATATGTCATTCTATTCAGAATTTCATTTTCTAGTGAATAAAGTCAAAATATACAGAGGGTGTCATTTAAAAATCAAAAGTTGTAGTCATTTCCGGTGAAATAAGAAGTGACCGAAAACAATGAATACGTCAATCAATCCTAATTTAAGTCATATACTACAGTGGTGGCTCGTGAGTATATAGGAAGGTGAGGCTCCATGAGGTTAATAATTTTGTGAAGTAATATAAAGAATGAAGTATTATTCTGCGATGCGTTATCCTTTTTTTAATGGTACCAAACCTATTACGTTTGGTACGAAAAAATATTTGAAAAGTTTTTAAATATTTATTTTTTTGACTCCTTAATATTTATTTGTCTTTTTTCAGTTTGTCTTAGAAAAGGAGTTTCAAGTATAGAAAGAATACGTTATAAATAGGGATTCATTTTAAAGAAAACACTAAAATTCAACTCCGCTTCGGTACTTTAAAATAAATCTTACCGGCGAAGAAAAGCCTAACCTTCAAATTTCAACAGTATTTGTTGCGTGGAATTTTAAAAACTGCTAAAATTCCACCTTACCCTGTGTGATTACAAATACTATATCTAATAGCCATCAAATAATTTAAATTTATAAACACAAACAATTTAAATAATTCTCGCCCTAAATGTCTAAATAAAAATAAAAATATACGCTAATTAATTCACCCATGCTGTTTGTTCTCACCACAACCGGCCAGCCACCGGCACTTTAACTTCCTGAGTCATGCATAGTAGATCGAGACTTTTTCGCATTTTTCAATAGTCAGATGATTTAAACTACCAATGAATACACCCAGCGCCAAATATAGCGCCTCAACCTCGCCTCAACCCTGCGATCGAGAATGCATGCCTTGTCGGTCGTCGGCCGTCGCGTCACATGCTCTTAAATCGTTTCTGCTAATAGGTAGACAACTCGAACTTTCCAAGCTAGAATTGTTTCGCTGTGTGACTCTGTCAAGTCGCGTTTTTTTGGCTGAGTTTACGCGGCTTATGTTGTGTCTGGACCTGGATGTATTTTTAAAATATATATTGTTTAGTTTTATTATGTTGAATGTGTTGTAGAATTGTAATAAATTATACTGGGATTAAATAAAAAGCTAGATACAAAAAAATAAATCGTTCCTTCATTTTAAAGGTGAGGCGCGGCCTCAGAGGCCTACACTGACGAGCCGCCATTGATATACTAACACACAAAATCTCGTTTTTATGACGGAAAAAATAAAAAAAGTTATAGGGGTGAGCCACTTTTGATACGCACCCGGTATATGAAACTTTAAAATACATGAAAATTTTAAGGTGCCCGTTTTTCCTACCGTTGAGTGTATTTCGATTAACGAATCGTTCGGATTAGCGAATGTTTCGATTAGCGTGTATTTCAATTAAATAGCTTGCACTGTAATGACTTTGTTTGATAATAAACTTTATAATTCGTTGCTTTAGATGCCCTACGAGTCAATGCTCCCAAACATTCACATTGCCAGTAGCGAAAGAGTCCTTGCAATGTCCAAAATGCAAGAAAATTGTGAATCTAACTAATAAAATTCTCCTTTTACATTGGTGTGAAGAACAGTATCAACAGGCTTTCCAGTTTATGGATGACCACGAAATGAGGAAAGCTATTGATATATTAACATCGACCATCGATACATTTTATAAGTATTTTTTCTTTGTTTCTTACATTTACAAGCTAAACATTAAGGTTTTTTAGGATCGCTTTACCCCCACATCAGCAAACTCATCTAGCCGAAGAAATGCTTCGTCTGTGCTTGGTACATTTAGGAAACGCGTCTTTCAGTTTGGAAAATCAACCAAAAGAAAAATAAAATTATTTTTATTTTTTTATTATAGATTGTAAAACTATTACATTTATATTGTTATATTAGAAATTGTTGAATCTGTATCATCGGGGTAACACATATTTTTACTGTAAACAATGTTTTTAAAGGTCGGTTCACATATATTGTAGTCTTCCAAGCCTAAAATGGAAAAGACCGTTACTTTTCATAGCTTGTAAATTACGAAAAATAATTTCAAATATTGAATTATTTGGAGCAGATATAAGAATTCTTAAGCAGATCTGATTTAGTTTAACCAAGTTTAATTTAATTTTAATCATTTTTTACTCATCAAACAATATGTTGTTTTTAGTACTTATTATTACTCTCTTAAGGCCCCTACAGATGCTCAGTTTTACAGCTCAGGCCGCCTGTGCAAATCTGATTTGTGCAGTTATATCGAAAGTTATATTAGGATAGTTGAATTCGGCCTGCGCAAACTTTGAAGCCTGAACTAAGCTCGTTAAATTTTTTCAGATTTTTATTTTCAGTTCGTTTATACAGGGTGTCCCAATATTCCCTGGACATAGAACTACGTATGTATTTTGGGAGTCAAAATAACTTCATTAGGGTAAATAGTGTCGATTTACCTAGATATTTTAATAACCGTTATTCCGATTTGAATGGGGTTCTGGATGTCTATGTTTTGCTAAGTGCTTTAACATTTCGCCTTCACAAAAATCAAGAAAAAATATGGATAAAAACTACCACCACCCCTACTTAAATTTTAGTATAAATATTTTACAACTCCACAGACGACCGATTTTTTTTCATAAAACGGTCCTTCTTGTGTTTACTACATTTTTTAACGTCACATCTATACAAAAGTGCTTCGTTTGTCCGTTAGAGGGCATCAATTAAAAATAAACCCGAACATTAAATAATTTAAAATGTATTTATTTTTTTAAGTTTTTTATGAAGCTTATTGTCAAAAATAATAAAATTTGTGATACTAGCATATAAAATTTCTTATTTTCGCATTTTCGCCAAATAGATTATTACTGCATAATAAATTTTATGTGCCTACATACGGTTACGTGCCTATAGTTTATCAGTGCCGTTCCAATTTTATTTAAAAAGTGTAAAACTATGATGTAGGGTAGACGTGGGGTAGACTCAATAATTTGTTGTTTTATTTTACGTTGTCAATAAATGTTGGTAGTTATTAAAATTGTTATAAAAATATATAATTCTAATAAAAATAGATAAGTTATAATAATTATTTATTAACACAAACATCTGATACGCTACTGAAGCAGGTAAGTCAAATTAACGTATCTAAATTCTTGGACATCTAATCTTTGACAAGTAGTAAATAAAAGCAAAAATGCAAGAAAAAATATATAATTATTTAATTTAAGTCAATTTCATAAATGTTCGGCTTACTACACGTATGTATGTATGTAATATATAGTCACTTACTAGCGAAAAGTTATTTATTTTACTCGATTTTTGACCGAGTACACAACCAACTACTTTACAGCCTTTTTTGATAAATCGCAATAGTGTCAGTGTTAATTTATGTTCTGCCACAATTTCCATCTAGATTTACTACCTTTATACTACTATCAGTAGTAGAATAAATAATAAATAAGATAAAATAAGCTTAGTAAAGACTGACAAATCCACAAAATTTCAAATCAAATTCAAATGTGTCAAATGAATCGTCAAACAGAACTGTCAAGGATCCCCAACCTAGAGTCCTTTTTCCGCCCATCATGCATGAATACATGGATAGCATTATACGCCTTCCTTAATCTTTTTATTCAAAGGTAGTAGTTCTATGTCCACGGAATATTGGAACACCCTGTATTTTCAATCCGTAGATTAGATATTTTCAGTCTATTCTTAAATGGAAACAAAATGGGAATTTGTAGTAAATAGTTTTTTTGCCAATGTATTGAACTATACAAAATCATGCCATGTTTATGGAAAATAAAAAATAAATATTATTGTGACACGAACAAAAAATCTGCAGCTTATGGACACTTCATACTATAGAAAAAGTAAACGAGATTGATTCGGAAGCAATTAAGGAAGCAGTTATTAAAAATATTAATAATTTAAGAAGTTATTTTAGAGAAAAACTTATAGAAATTCTTAAAAAGCAATTATTTAGCGTAAAACTGCACAGTTAAAACTGCGCAAACTGGCCTGCACAGTTCAAACTGAGCGTCTGTGGAGGACCTTGAGATGATATGAATCTTGTATATTAGTCCTATACTGATGGTATTCTCAAACAACTTACCTTCATCGCTATCATCTGGCGGCAAATGCTTAAATGGCCAGTAACTTATCAAATCCTTTGATAAAGTATAACCTCCAGCTAGCAGTTTTCTCTTAGACCAAAGAGTCTCGCAGGATAACCTTAAAATCGGCAAAGGAGCAGGACCGGGTACAATATTATCAGACTCTGGACCAATCACCTCATGATACTTTTTAATATAACTCAAAATATTCATCTGAAAATATATTTTACCCAATGAGGATAGATTTAAAAAGTCAATTTCAAAAGACATGTACAAAAGTTTAACAGCACATGTAATAACAGTTGTTGGTCAACATTTGTGACTTTTCCTTGTCTAAATATTTTGGTATGTCAAAAATATTATTGTCATAAGCAAGTAAAAATGCACGTAACGCAAGTAAAAGCACTTTTTAAGTTGTCGAAGATGTCAAAGTTATTTCAATTTTGTGCTTCCGTCATTATTTTTACTGGTTCCTTTAGAGTAGAGGAAATTATTATTAGGTACTTTTTAAATATAAGTTTTAAGTTTAGATATGTGTTAAAATTAGTTTTGTTTGTTATTGCAATTTGACTCTATGCAAACAATAATTACCGGTTCCTTTATTTCTTCGGGTAGTTTCATACGCAGAAGAGAGTGTTCTGGGACTGAAGCGAATCTCGTTTTGAATTCTCCACATTTCACTATCATAATATCTTTAGTGGGAGCTTGGTAATAAGTAGGAACCTTTTCAATTTCTTTTAAAACATCGTCACCTTGTATCAGTTGTCTAGAAAGCAATGCTATTAGTAATACGCAAAGATATTTAAACTCGGGAGATACAATGATCCATTCATAAAACGCTCTAAAGCTTCATCACACATTGGTTTGCAAAAATCAACGAGTGCAAGAGAGAATGGATAGAGAAGGAAATAGGGGTGTCTGCTCGATGGCAACAATGTAGTTGTGTACAAAGATTAGACGTTTGAGGTCAATTTCCAGTGGTGTGTCGATCGACCGACAGTATTTTAAGGAAATTAAAATAATTGTTTAATAAATTAAAATAAAATAATAATAAAACTCACATCTTACATATTTGTCGCATTGTAAAAAAAATATGTTGAGGGAGGATAGCGAAATAAAATAAAAACCGGCATAATTTTTTATTATAAGATGGCTTTTCACATAAGAATAACGATTAAAAAATTAATAAGTGTTTTTTTACTATATTTTATTAAATAAAATATCAAATTTTAGGTGTATTAGTAAATGCAGTTTCAATATCTTGTTCCAAACCTTGTTCGTCTCCGGCGAATGAGATTCCCTCTATTAGCAATAACAAAATAAAATAGTTATTTTAACCTATTAACACAATATTTTACCAAAAACCAAGAATTTCAATAGAATAAAATGTAAGAAAGTCATAAAATTCATGTAATAAGAACATTAATTATATGTATGTCAAAAGATGTCCATTTACATTATAGCAACCAAAATTTAAAACAAAAGCCGTATAAAATTGTAACGGCAACAAAAAAAATAAGGCCGCAAAATTCCATCTTTGGTACACCCCAATAAAATTTTCACAAAAGGTAGGTAATGGTTTGTCAAACCCAAGTAGGTACCTAGATTAGATTTATTCTTATAAGAAAGGTTTTTCGAAAATAGATGTTGTTTATAAATTACAGGCGGTTTATAGAACTTAAATTTAATTTTTTACATTCAATACCCTTTCTTAAAAGGGAAACAGAAATTGTTGTTAACTTATTTGTAATTAGTATGTACCATGTACCGTTTTCCTACAAATAATTTAATTAATAAATATATAATTTAAAAAAACATAATAAATATATGATTTAAAAAATAAACCTAAAAATATAATTGGATATAGTAATATACCTAACCCTACTTATTTGTATTTACCGGTGAAAAGTTAAATTTGGATTTAAATGATACACTCTCTTGTACACAATACATGAATGCACCATATTTTCAAAATAATGTCTACAGAAGTCCACAAAATAACGCAAAAATACTATAATACTGCAAATAAAGAATATGGAGCTTGATCGGCGGCATAGCAACATCGCAAAAGGAGAATCTAGGATTTTCTATTCGTCCTCGAAATACGTTGTACTACGCCGGCATATTTCTAAAACTGACGTTGCCAAACTGCTTTTTATTATTAAAAGAAACACGACCATGATATTTTTATTCCATTATAAAATTTAAAATAGTAAAACAGTTAAGCGTTAAATGAAAAAATTGACGTTAGCAAATTAATGTAGTTGATATATTGCAAAAATATAACGAAATTATTTATTACTTAATAATTGGTTGTGGTATTTAATCGAATACTAATACCATAGTATAAGGAAAATAATACCAATATAATAATATACAGGTAAATCTGGCAAAGATTTTCGGTGTAAGAGAGATGGGAAAATAAGGATAGAATAATGGCTGATGAAGGAGAAAGGTAAACAATTGTATCTCTTGAGTTTAAATATCTTTGGTAATACGATATTTAAAAATTTGATAGTAAACCCAAAAGCAACATATTTGTAATCCATCCAAGGTGTATTGCCCAAGCTTATAAAAAATTGAGTGCTGTTATCCTTATGTCGTCCGTTATTACACATTGATAAAACTCCTCTTCTATCGTGTGGCACTACATAATTTTCACAAGATTTTTTTTTAGGTGTTAGGTCATAGCCACCGCACTGAATCCAAGATCTTAAAACTATTCTAATAAAGAGACAAAATATATTGTGCAAATTAAAACTGAAAAAAGCTCTAATTTGTGTACTTTATACAGAAAGTTGTAGTATTAACGTTGATTGAAGAAATAAGAAAATGCGCAACCTTAAGGGTGATTTTGTGGAACAAAACACGTCCCAGATGTAGCTAGCGTTACTGTTAGCCTATCTGAGATTTAGTTTAGTTCTGTGCCGCTGCGCGCTGATAGTCCTTTACAGCGCAGCAGAGCAGCAGAATACTGTATCGTAATTCTGATTTCAGTCGACAGTGTTTGCCGGAGACAGTGTTGCTAGAACTACGGTTAACTTACCAGATTTACGGATTTTGGGTACAGTACGTTAATAGTACGGATTATCTATCATTAAACAATTTAATATCTATACTACTCGTAATACTAAGGGCTGGCAAAGGTTAGTCTTGGGTCGAGATTTCCGTATGTAAGAAGAGTACAATGCGTTTATAATGCACTGAACAAAGTAAACACATTGCCAAACATATGAAATAAACCGAGAAACTGTGCACATCGCTAAGAGACGTGGAAGGGGATATAGCAGATTTGTCGCAGTTGACCGGTCGACCCAATCAATACCTCTGTCAGTACCAGGCCCTAGACACTCAATGATAATTTTATGGAACTACAAATTTAGTTTCTTCCGCATCGCCAGACGGCGCAAAAGACATTAAAGTACCGGTTTCTAATTTATTTATGAAGATGACATGACAGCTTCTATATTATAAAAAATGTCTATACCTATGTGGCGGATTCTTCACTGCAAGAAAAATCTACAAAATAAAATAGTTATTTTTTGTAAACACTTCTGCGTTAAACCTAAACGGACGCTGCTTGTCAGAAGTTGTGTTTAAAACAAAATAACATACAAACATCTTTCAAAACACAAAATACACTTAGATCAATTTTATCACATACTAAACCAATGAATACAGAACAACAAACAAAAAATGTAATATACCAAATACCCTGTGAATGCGATAAATTTTACATTGGTGAAACATCTAGACCCTTAAATGTTAGAATTAAAGAACATAAAGATTATTTAAGAAAGGGAGATTTTCACAAATCTAACATTTGTCAGCATTCATGGGACACAGGGCACAGAATAAATTTTAATAACGCCAAAATTATAATGAAAGAAGCTATAGCCTCTAAAAGAAAAATAAAAGAGGCTTTTTTATTCAATCTAATAAAAATAAATGTATTGCTCATGCATCTGTAGATGTTAGTAATGTATGGCAATCGCTTCTTTGATTTTAAAGAACATTACATAAATAAACATACGTAAAATTTAAAAATAATCATACAGAAAGTTTGGGCTTTTTGGTGTTACCTTATTAAGTAATTAACAGGTAGTAATTGTTAATTTTGAAGTCTAACTTAATATAATGTCATTTTAACAGAACGTCAACGATTTCTTGTAGACGTATCTGTTTTAAAAAGTAAAGTGTTCTCGAATAGTTCAATTTAAATATTTTAAAGAGTTTTTTTCTTGATTCTTTATATTTTTTGCTTCCGACGACGGAAAGAGAAACTTTCCGAAACGTTAAGCATTTTTTTTCTTTGTTAGGCAAATTTTTATTACTGTAAACACAACTTCTGACAAGCAGCGTCCGTTTAGGTTTAACGCCAGAAGTGTTTACAAAAAATAACTATTTTATTTTGTAGATTTTTCTTGCAGTGCAGTGGCGAAAAACCCATAAGGATATTTTTGGATAGCTTCTATATTTACTACCATCTATGGTGTAGTTGTCAAAAAGTTGGTGATCCGTCAAGTTATTTTTAAATCATTTTTAAATAATTATTAATTCCGATATTCCTGATTTGCCGGAAAGGTCGGTGAATTAGTGTTTTTATTAGTTTGTGCATTTTGATATTTACAATCGATCATTATTTTCGTGTGAGATACTAAACTTTTTTTAGTAAAGACATGTTAGACATCTTAGATGAATACATTTATGAACGAAATAAAAAAAATATTTAATCATAAATAAGTAAGTACATAGTTGGTAATATAGTATTTTTCGTAACAGTTAATTAGTAGTCTATAATATTTTTACTATATTATAATTTATTTGTTAAATCAAAAAAATAGGCGCTATGTGCTCTATTGTTGGTGTTTAAAATCGATGTATTCATAATTTTATTTTTAGTTTTGAATATGTTACACTTCTAATAATCTAATAAAACATAAAATATAGTAAACAAGTCTATATTTATTATTTTACATTTTACAAGGAATAATTGTGCGCTTGAATAACGTTACTGTTTTAGATAGCGATAATAAATAACGGACCGCTAAAATTATGTTATGCCAAAACTCTCCGTTAGTTTCTTCTGAATCACCAGGTGGCTCTAAATGACGGACTTATTTGTTCTATATCAGTGTCCAATCTATCTCTAGTACGTGACATTAGTCTATGGTCAGTACTTAAAGTTCTAGGGAAAGGTGTACGTCATGCGTTCAGCTTCACGATTTAATTACGTCTCGTGACACTTAATTTCTTCATTTAATAACGAATCGTTGTAATTTTCCCTATAGCTTGAATTTTTTAAGTGCAAGCTAGAAACACTGGCATTTTTGGTAAAAATAAGTGGAATTGAGTGGGTGTTCGATAGTGGTCGCGCTATTAGAACTCTGAATTCAAAAATCGATATCTCGAAATCTATTAGAAATAATAGATTGTAGTTTTTCAAGAACTTTGTTAATATTTCTGCTGTATTTTCTTTGTAGACAGTATGTGAAAATCTTTATCAATAAAAAAATTACACGATTGCTGAAAATTGCTATGCTCTAAAAGTAAACGGATGGATTGTTTACAATTTTTGAATAGAAAAAACAACCTTATCGAATTTTTCTTATGTAAACATATTGTAAAATATCCGATCTTGAAAATAAAAAAAAGTTTCAATATCTTAAGTGGTTCTTGAGTTATGGCCTGTTATGTGTTAAAAAGTTGAGTTTTTAAATTATCGCGATTACTGACGTTTTCTCGTTATAAAAAAAAATGACACCTTAACGATATCCTTATAATTCCATTTCTAATGTCTAATGCTTTTATCTAGTTATCTCTTGAAAAAAAAGTTTTTTAAAAATAATCGGTTTGCGATCGTGATTTTACTTTACTTGATACGGAAAGGCGTATCGGCAACGCCGCAACAGCACACCGTCGCGCGTCGCGTCGGTTGGTCGCATTTCTCTCACTCCGACTTAATAAGATCCCTATGCGATTTACTTCCACACATGTAAATGCCAACCCAAAAGTAACCCTTGCCAGCACGGTATATAAAATCCTTAAGTGACTCACTGATTAATCACGATCCTGCTCAAAACACTCAACGTAAGAAGCCAGAATTTTGGCATACAGGTTGATTCTAGAGTGTACAGGTTCGATAAGAAGGAATTTTTCGAAATTCCAGTTCCAAGGGGGTGAAACCACCCCTCAAATATTACAATATTTTTTATTTAAAAAACGAGTTTCCAAAAAAACGCTTAAACACGTATATTTTATTTTGTTTTTTACATATTTTAAGATTTTTTAAAAATGTATACAGGGTGTTTCGAAAAATCTGGTCATTGATTAATCACGATCCTGCTTAAAGCTCTTGACGTAAAAAGCTGATTTTTGGTAAACGGATGGACTTTATTTAGGGTGTAGAAGTTCGATAAGAAGGGATTTTTCGAAATTCGAATTCTAAGGGGGCGAAACCACCCCTCAAATATTAGAATAACTTTTATTTAAAAACCGGTGAGTTTTTCGGATAAACTCTTAAACACGTATATTTTATTTTGTTGTTTTACATATTTTAAGATTTTTTAAAAATTTATACAGGGTGTTTCATAAAATATGACCATTGAGTAATCACGATTCTGCTTAAACTGCTTGATGTTTAAACCTGATTTTTGGCAAACGGATTGACTGTGTGGTGTAGAGGTTCGATAAGGAGGGGTTTCTCGAATCTCAAATTCCAAGAGGGCGAAAACGCCCCTCAAATATTACAATATTTGTTATTTAAAAAACAGTTAGTCTTTTGCATACGCATAATTTATTTTGTTTTTTTACATATTTTGAATTTTTTAAAAAAATCACACAGAGTGTTCCAAAAAGTTGGGTAATTGATTAACCACGATTCTACTTAAATTGCTTGACGTAAAAAGCTTATTTTTGGCAAACGGACTTTTCGAAAGTCAAATTCCAACGAGTTGAAACTACCCCTCAAATATTACCAAGTTATATAATAATATTGCCATATTGTTTTTTCTCATGCTGACATAAATGTGAGAAAATTTTATCCAGTTTGTATGTCAATGGAAATTCTTGCTTTACTTTATCATCACTATCACAAATGATTAATTCGACGCGAACGAAGTCGCGGATACACTCTAGTAATATTACATGATTAAACAAAGAACGGCGTCAGAATTGGTTTGGAAATAAAGATTGCTGTTATTTTTTATGTAAAATATTATGGTAAATGCCAATAATTCGTCATTTCCAAGCCAACTAAACGACTTTTTTCGATAATACGAAGTATTCGGTACTTATAGAAAAAAAATATTTTTGTTGTTTATTCTATGTTTAACACAAATAAATTTGCAATGTATTATAAACACGGATTTTTCATCCAAAGATTTTTTTGTCAAAACGTATTATAAGTATTACACATTTTAATATGGCAACACTGTCGCTTTCAGTTCCACACCATCTTGGATATGCCTTCGCTATCCGAATTAGAGAGAATAAGTGTTTTATGCGTTGGCCGCAGAACGATTGGTGTCTCCACCGTACAGCACTCACTTAAGACGTAAGGGGAAATCAAACCAGCCTTGTCACGAATGATTAGGTTGCGTATCTTTCCAGTTCTTTTAATCAACGGTATTACTATTTTATTAAGCAACATAAAATCACTACCTATGTACAGGAGCACCAAGGTATCCATTTTCGTCATCATTACATCGATTTAGAAAATTTTCGCATGTCAGTGGCACTAAATCATTGTAAAGCTACAAAAATAACCTAGTTCAGAATAATGCTATTATCTACTGGTTGACAAATATATTACTTCGAACAGCAACGACCCTATGACTTGTTTATTAATGGCGATAGTTAAATAAACAAATTGCCTCTGAAATAAGCTTAATGATAAAATAGTAATACGCACACAGAACACAAACTTGTACATAATTTTCCGCTTTTTCTTCTAAGTATGCCACCAGGTGGTTGGTAGCTAGGACAGACCAATCTTGGTTAAATACAAATCTCCATTTTTTCCAAATGAATCTAAACAGATCATCAAAGTCTCCCAGAAACTGATTATTAATGAACATTGCAACACAATTTTTGACGGCCCATAAGCCATTTCCCAAACGCCTTTGTTGCTTAAGAAAAATTATTGATGATTATGAATGAAGGGTCCAGGGGAAAACTTGATAAACGCCAATTTCTTATTATTGTTACGTTTTTCGTTGGTTCCGTGTGGATAGAAAGTCACAATTTATTTAAACACAATTTATTTTATACTAAATAACAAAAACAATAACGATAAAAGACTTAAAGAACAATTTACAAACTATTTATAACTATTTATCTAGAAAGAATTTATTTTGAATTTAACGCGGCAATTGTTCTCGTCTATTTATTTCTCTCTTTTTATTTTATACCCACAGCTAAAGAGTTCTTGAATAATCCATAGATCATTAGGTGCATAGAGAAGGTTTCGAATGTTCTCGTATGTACTACTCCATTCCAGTGGAACTCGATTATTCTCGAACGTTCGAATGAATCATTACGGTGTCTATTCTTTAATGCGATATTAAAGTCATCTGTAGCATTATAGTAGGTCTAACTGATCCCTACTAAATGTATAAACTCCGCAGGGCAATATGTTGTTAATCCTATGATATATGCCTAGTAAAAATATAAAATACGCGGAAAGAACCTGATAACCGTCAGCCGTCCAGTGCTCTCCTGTAAAATTAGTAAAATTGCGCTTATCAGGTTTTTCCCCTGGGCCCTTCAAATTTAAATTACATAATATAGTGATAAGCGACACTGGACTTGGTCTTGCGGTTTTGTTCTTGGTTTTGCACAAAAGGCAAGACCAAGACCAAGAATAGCGTTTTATGAGCAAGAAAAAGACTAAGACCGACAGTGCAAGACTGACGCAAGACCAAGACCAGCATCCCAGACTCTTGCGGTATTGTATTTCACAAACATTTTCAATAATATGGTGAATACACGATTTTAGTTTAGTATTAATATTCAAAGTATTCTTTGTAAAGGTTGATTCTCACTATACCTTCCGTTTCCATTCCATATCCGTTTCGTATTTTTTGTTGTATTGACACTATACGTAAGCTTCCGTTCCGTATCAGTTCCATACTTTTTATTGTACAGGGTGGTCGAAATTGGTCTGTTTTAACAGAGAAAATCTAGATCCTAACTAAAACCGACATAGATGTCATGGGTTCGATTTCTGAGAAACGTTTAATGGCGTAAACCGCCTGTTAATATTTTCACTGCCAAGTGAGATACGGGGTCTTTTTGAATTTTTTACCATTTGGAAAATTGCCCATAACTTTTGTATTTCGCGGAATAATAAAATTCTGTCAAAAAGTTCTTAAGGCACTTTTTTAAGCACAATCCAGTGGCGTACTCAGTTTTTTCTATGCTTGCTTTTTTTTGTCAGAAATAATAAAAAATATAATTTTTTAAATGGAAATCATAGTTGGCTATGAACTTAAAAAAATGCTGGCATTTCCAACGATATAAAGTTGTGTATTTATTTTTAAGAATGAACGAAATATTAGGTTTTCTTTATTTGCGTATCGAAGCGGACCTTGATTTTGTGTTGACGTAGTTGCCTAATTATTTTTTATCACAATTTAATATTCTATATTATTATTTATCTGCATAATCAAAAGACTTTTGAAAAGATAAATCTACATTCTATATTATTTGTATTACCATTTACAATTAAAACGCCAGTGTTACAACTGCACTATTAAATGGAGAATTTAGAGAGAATTGGATATAACAAGGGTTTCCATATTTTGGCCTGCTAGATGCTATGATTTAACTCCTTTCGACGTTTTTATGGGGGACATTAAAAGACCTTATATATAAGGGTAGAACCGTTACAGAAGGTTACTAGGCAAGCTTTTGGACCTATTATACCCGTTCGCCTAATAAATCGTTGTAACTTTGTGCGCAAAAGGTGTTTAGTGTATTCAACAAGGAGGTGCTCAAAGTTTGAACATCTTTGGTGATTTTTTTTAGAAAACTATATTCGTCACTCAAAAAATACGTTTTTTTAGTTTTGTTCTTTGTTTATTGTATCGATTTCAATTGTAATTATTAATACTAATATAGAATGTTAATTTACTTTTTCAAAAGTCTTTAATTATGCAGATAAATAATAGTATAGAATATTAAATTGTGATAAAAAATAATTAGGCAAATAGGTCAATCCAAAATGAAGGCCCGCTTCGATATAAAGATAAAAAACATAATATTTCTTTCATTCTTGGAAATAATAGATACCCATAAATTTATATCGTTGGAAAGGGTTGAACGACAACATTTTTTTAAGTTCATAGCCAACTATGATTTCCATTTAAAAAAAAATATTTTTCATTATTTCTGATAAAAAGAGCAAGCATAGAAAAAAACTGACTACGCCACTGGATTGTGGTTAAAAAAGTACCTTAAGAACGTTTTTACAGAATTTTATTATTCCGCGAAATAAAAAAGTTATAGGCAATTTTCCAAACGGTAAAGAATTAAAAAAGACCCCGTATCTCAGTTGGCAGTGAAAATATTGTCAAGGTGTATTACTGGTTGCATAACTGCATACTGCTAAATAATCGCAACGTGCATTGAGGAACCTGGCGCATTCGCCAGAAAGTAAAAGAAAATTATAGAATTCTTTAGAAAATTCCAGAAACCATCGCCAGGGGGTATATAACGCCCGCGCTTTGACAGTTGGACAAGTCTGAAGATAGTCTGAAGTCTGAAGTTTGAAAATACCGCGAAATACCGTTAGAGTAATAGTAGTTGCATAAGTTGTGTTGTAAATAGTATAAGTTGTGTGTACAGAGTGAAACAAATAAATTCGTTAAGTATTTTATCGTGAGTTTAAATAGTGGACCCACGGAATCCGTAACAATTGGTGTCGGAAGTGCGATTCAAGAGGATTTTAAGAAGAAATTAAGTGGATTGGAAGATTTTTAGACCGAATCAGAGTATTTTTATGGTTGGTACAAGGGAGCAAGCGAAGAAAATGGAGGAAGTAAGCAAATTATTGGGCGATTTTATGGAGAATATGAAAAGAGAGAAAGCAGAAGAAAAAGACGAAGAAAAATTACGCCGTCAAGAAGAACAGGACCGGCTTGAGAAAATTTTTGAAGATTTGAAAATTCAACGACAACAAGAAAAACAAGAAAAACAGGACCGGCTTGAGAAAATTTTAGGCAATTTAGAAATTCGTCAGAAAAATGAATGGAGGGAAATTTTAGAAGATTAGAAACGCGCCGCCAGAAAGAAAGACAAGAAGATCAGGACCGTCTTAAGAAAACTTTAGAAAATCAAGAAATTCGACTTCAGAAAAGCTTGGGGGAACAGCAACAAGCAATGTTGGAAGTACGTTGCCAGGAACAGCAGAACCACTTCCAAGAAGCCGTAGAAGATCTTGAGGAACGCCTTCAGCAGAAGATAGAAAGATTGGAGATGGACCTACAGAAGACCAAGGCACAAGTAAGAACATCTGGCGTTCAAGGAACTGCGAACCTTAAGGCCCCAACCTACGATGGACAAACCACCTGGACTATGTACCACCGCCAGTTTGAAGCAGCCGCCGCTGCCAACGGATGGACCGACCAGGAGAAAGCAGCGGCACTTGTCATCGCGCTGCGTGGCCCTGCTCTGGAACTGCTGCAAACTATTCCTGCAGCCCAACAGCAGGAATACCAAACTTTGGTTGCTGCACTGGACAGAAGATATGGCGACCAACATCGACGTCAACTTTACCAGGCCCTGATCAAGACACGCTTGCAGAGGTCCGGAGAGAGTCTTCAGGAATTTGAAGCAGACTTACGTCGGCTGGTACACCTGGCATATCCAGAAGCACCGGAAGGATTTAGGAAGGAACTCGCTGCTCAGTGTTTTATCAGCGGACTGAGGGACAACGAATTGCAGAGGGCGCTGCAAATATCCCTATTTTTAGCAGCGAAGCACTGGTCAGGGCGCTAGAAATTGAAGCTGCTTTTAGCGCCATCCCTAGACCGAAGATAAGATCGGTAACGGTCGAGGAACAGCCCGGAAGTTCTCACATACGTTTGGAGGAGATGTTTAGTAAACTATGTGAGTTACTAGTGAACAAGTGTAGCAACAACACCCAGACAGAGAACCATAGAAGATCCCAGGACATAAGGTGCTTTAGATGTGGCAGGAATGGCCACATTAAAAGGGATTGCCGCGTTCAAATGCGATCCCGTTCACCATCCAGAGAACGTAGGCACCAGGAAAACTAAAATCAGTCAATACTAAGGGGCAAGTATTGATTGGGGAGAACAGAGCCCCCAGGATTTTTCCCATTAGGAGTTTAGGAAGAACAGCTGACAGTTTGGTGATCGACGGGAAGGTCAATGGTAGGAGAATCCGAATGACAGTGGACACTGGCGCTATGGTATCGTTGGTACGGGCCAACTCAGTACAAGGGTTGAAGCTGATGCCTCTGAGAAGAAGAGTGTGTTTACGTACAGTTACGGGGGAAATGGCCGTTGTACGGGGAGAGGCTATCGTCGAACTGAAGTTAGGAAATTTGAAGTTCCAGCATAGCGTCTTAGTGGCAGATATTGAAGATGACTTCATCTTGGGCATGGATGTGATTCGTCAACATGGATTTTCGTTCGATCACCAGAGAAATATCCTGAATATCGGAAATGAAGAGTTTATGTTATCTCCAGACGAGGGACCAGGAAGAATGGATGTAAGATCAGCGGAAACTGTGGTGATACCTGGTAATACCGAGAAGATCGTATTCGGTAAAGTGGAGAAAATCGCTGGGTGCTGTGTTGGACTGGTACAAAGTGTCAACAAGAAACAAGATAGGTACTTAGTAGGAAAATCATTGGTGAACACCGACAAGAATATACCGATCAGAGTTGCGAATGTTTTCCCGAATTGTGTCAAGATTCAAAAAGGTGACAAGATAGCCATCTGCGAACCTGTAAGAAGTGTCAACCCGATGTGATCAGTGCCGTCAGCTGTTACACAAATGACATCCAAAGAAACACTAAAACATCTAGAGCAGCCATGGGATCACCTAACATCTGAGGAGAAACAGAAGGCTAAGGAGTTCCTGTTTAGGCATGGCAGT